CTGTTGTTTTTAATAGATTTTTCAAAATATGAATAACATGGGAGGCAGGTTCTACCTTCTCCTAGGCTGGAAGAGTCCATTTCTTTATTTATGATACGAAAAATGTTTATCCCATATTTTCTGATTTTTTTTCAAAACGGTTTCTGAAATTTCTTTATGTGTGTGAAATGTTGCGCTAAGAACAACCCTCTATGATGATGCCAAATTAACTAGTATATAAAGAATTCTACCAAAGTATCCGATGTAGTGAAAGAATATATTATATTATTTTCAAAAATATTTATATTAAAAAATATATTACTTTCATATTAAATATGAATATAAATTTATATTCATTTAAATCTTTTATTCATAATTTTATTTTCATTTCTGAAATTGATTTAAGTGCACAAATCGTTTCTTTTTTTTCTTTTTTTTTGTATTCATTATTTTCAATATACATATTTTTTTGTTTCAAAATGTTTGATTTCAGTGAACATCAAACATCCAACCCATGTAGTGAAAGAATATATTATTTTATATATTATATTATTTTCAAAAATATTTATATTAAAAATATATTATTTTCATATTAAATATGAATATAAATTTTTATTCATTTAAATCTTTTATTCATAATTTTTTTTTAATTTCTGAAATTGATTAAAGTGCACAAATCTTTTGTTTTATTGTATTCATTATTTTCAATATACATATTTTTTTTTGTTTCAAAATGTTTAATTTCAGTGAATATCAAATATCCAATCCATGTACAGTCCACTCTAAATTACACATTAACTGGCCCAAAATTATTAGATTATTAGATCTGTGGGTAATATATGAATCTCACTAAATAAGCGAGATCAAACATTATTTGTTATTTTTTTTATTATAATAAAAAAATATTATTTTCATATTAAATATCAATACAAATTTTTATAAGTACCAAAATAAATTTTAAGTTTTTTTTTACTATTGTTATATTATAATTAATTTTGAGGGAAACTATTAATATTCTTTTAAACTTTTCTGTAGATCATAACTCATTTGTTGGTAATATGTATCAGGTTTTTAAACAGTAAATTTTATTTATTACTAGCTTTACCTAGCCACGCGCTGCTGTGGCTTAGCCTGGAAAAATGAAAAAGAAAGAAAATAGAAAGCACATATGAGTTGATTAGTAGCAAAGGACATCTGTCATTTTTAAAAAGTTGGGAAACAAATTTGTCTGTAAAATGGCTTCAATTGAAAATAATTCTAATTGTTTTTTTTTTCTCATGAATCAAATTGAACATTCATAATCATCTGAGTAAATACGCCGTCATTCATAATCATCAGAAACAGTCTAAGTTGAACTTATAAAACTAAATTTAAAAAAAGTATAATAGTATTGACCTACATAAGGAGAATCATATAAATTCTTCAAATGATAATTTCAATTACTGTAGTAATTATAAAATTTTAGATTAATCAAAAAAAAAAAAAAAAAATACTTGCCGACGTTCGGTAGTGAGGAAGCAGAAAGGAAACTCCCATTTCTGAAGAGGAAGCAGTAAATGTTTAAAACTCAATAACTCTGCAACGAACCATCCGATTTCGATGATTTTTTTTTATATTGTCGACAAATCAGGAATCTTTCAAATAAATGCGGTCATCGTGTACTTATAGTGTATAATTATCAGTCAAAAATCGTGTACTTTTTTAGTTATCGTCAAATAAAATATTGAATTCATCGTAACATTTTTCTGCTTGTTTTTGAGAAAGTATGTTATACACATAAATTAAAGGGTTTCAAGGGGAAAACTTTAGCCAAGTTTCGTTAAAATTGGTAAAGCCGTTTGGGCACTACAGTTTATAGCGACACATTTTTTGCGGCTTTGAACAGAAAAACATTTACATTTTTATTTTTTTTACATATATAAAATTATCGTAAGACAGAAGTACTCTGCCAGAAACCTTCCCAGGAGTGTACGGAACAACTTCCCAAAGTTTCGTGGCGATCGGTTGAATGGTTTAGTAATGCACTAAGGACAAACAGATGGACAGACAGACATACATTCATTTTTATATATATAGATATAGTCAAAAGTTGCTTTATTTGACTGTTAATAAACTTTTCTGATTATTAGAAAGCATTTTATTACATTTAAATAAATATAAAAATATTATTATTCATAAAATAAACCAAACTGAAAATTTTTAACCTTTTTCAAGAAACATCAACAAAACTCTTAATTTCTGATGTAAATATAGGTTTTGAGATGTTAAGGAATAAATCGGAAAAATTTGAGAAATAAGAAAAAACACAATATTGTTGATAGCTGTATTATACCTTGTCCTTAATTATTGCTTGAGGTAATTTATTCATTGTCTCCATTGCTCGTTTTTTTATTATATCTGTTAATGAAAATCGAACCAGTAAGCCAGAAAATAATAGCAAGTGGATGAAGGTACCATATTTCTTTTTTAACCACACAATGTGTGAATACCTTCAGCTTTGCTAGTGATTTGGTTGCTGGAATCAAGGAATATTACAGTTAAAATAAAATAATAATATTCTTAAACTGTATTAAGATATGCACCAGCATAGTAAGTCTATTTGTATGTTTCCTATATCAAAAGTTATCTATTTAACAAATTTATTACAAAGATCGCAGTAAACGTAGAGAGTAAGTTGTCCTCACGCGACTAAGAATAGGTCTTAAGATAATACCAGATTTACGCACCTTCACTCAATTACCAAAGAAAACCCGCCCATTTGTCGGAACTGTGGAAAGAAAATGACAGTGGTCCATATCTTCAAGAGTTATGCCATTTACATTAGACAATTAAACATAAGGGGAATACCAGCAAATACACCGGCTGTTTTGGGAAACGATAAAAAAATCCTAGGCAAAATAATATGTTTTCTGTCCGAAGAAGGAATCTTAAAAAATATTTGAACCTCTCACGCAGCACTCCCCACCTCTTTTTTTTCCTATTACCACCCCCTCCCCTTTTTCCCTCCCTTCCCTCTCAAAAAAAATTAAATCCTGGATCCGCTAATCAGGCGAACGGTTATACTGCATACATTGATGAGCTGAACGTTAGGGGATTTCAGCGAGATCTAAGTTTCAAGACCTCCTGAGTCCTAAGAATTGGTATTCGGAAACATATTTCTTTAAGCATTGATAACCTAACCTTCTACAACTAAGTTTTACCTGCCGCAAAAATTATATTATTTGACAACCTGAATAGGCAGTATCTATCATTTGTTTTCTCTCCGAAGAAGGAATCTTTAAAATATCTGAACCTCTCACGCAGCACTCCCCACTACTTTTTTTCCTTTTACCATTTTTTTTTCCGACCATTTTTTTTCCTTTTTCTTTTTTACCTAACGTGCGAACTTTAAATAACTAAACTTTAATAATAATAAACAACTTTTAATCTTAACGTGCATTTCATATATTTTTTTAATTTTATCCAATTCTTAATATTTATAACTGTTAACGCCGCATAGGCTTATTTCTTAATTTTTGCATTATTATTTTCTTTCAAAATTTACCCCTTTTTTAATGTTAACAATAAAATATTTATTTTTTTTTTTTTGTAAAAGTTTGAGGGACAATTGTCCCTAAAATGTATTTAGGTTTATATTGTTTATATATTTGGACTTATTTTTCGATGCGTTATCGCGTTGTATATACCCACCGACCCTACAGTAATACCCTGTCTTGGGGATTAAGACATCAAAATACGGCCGAAGCCAGTCTGGAGATAGCGCTTGTCGACACTAGACCTACGTAGTGGAAGTCTACCACCACCAGCCCAGACTCACCATATCTCACCTAGCGCCATTTTCGAGGATCAGCTGTTGGGCGCAGCTGAGTAATCGATACATATCGATCCCACCCCACCATCGATTGCTCGGACATCGTAGAAGATAACCAGGTGGAACCTCCAACCTGGCTCGTATTTTTGTTTATATTCTCACCATCACAAAGACATTAGAACATTAATTAATTTTTGTTTCACCTATAAATTAGGCTTTCACCTATTCTTTTGGACAGTTGTTTTTTTTTCTCTAGTTTTAACTATAATTTCAGAAGTTGGATTTATTTATATATGTTTTTCCTAATGTTAATTTGTTTTATTTTCTCTGCATATTATGTTTATGTTTTATTTTTCTCGCAACTTTACACCAATATTTATTTTAAATTTTGTACATAATTAGATCTTTTTTTTTATCTCAATAAATTGTAAACATTCAAAAGGGGATTTTTTTATTTTCCATTTTTTTTATTTATTGAAATATTTCTATTTTTTTAATATTCTCTTGTGCATGCATTTGTTTTTTTCTCTAATGTTTTACAGGTCTCATTTTTACTCCTTTTATTTTTTCCTTCTTTCCCAACGTTTTTAATTTCACTCGAATTTTCCCCACCATTGAGGAAACGCACAGGCGGAAAGATTTGTACTTCGGTTTTGAAGTACCCCTGGCCACAACAATAACCAAAAGATATAATAATATATAATTTTAATTAAATGTGTTGATGACCAACAGGTTCTACGCCCTTACTACACAACCAACCAACCAACCAATATTTCGGTCCGCTTATAAGCAAGATACTAAAAGTGATATATAAACATATATTTACCATTGTTTAGTTTTAGTAAATATTTTAGATGATCCATTTTTTTCTTCTTATTTATTTAATATTATTGGCAAGAAATAATTAATATGCTTCTGTTCATAGCTGTTATTATTAAGGGACATTGTTCCATAGTAAAATTATTTTCCTATTCTATAAATTTCTAAATTTACAGAAGATATTAATATGTGAACGATTTACCAAAGTTGTCTATCATGCTTTGATGATTCATAACCACTACTGAGCCACCATCAGCAACAAGATTTTCTACTCCTTTCTCAGTCCAGCTAATTCCGAGAATTTTGCAAATCTATTCAGAATAATAATATAATATGCTGTCGAGTTTTCTATAGTATTTGACGATTCGTTAAATATTAAATTTTTTTATAGGTCTTCCGACGAAGCCGGAAAATTGCGATGTGCAAAATAAATCGAGAGATCGATTAGAAATTGAATGTACAGCTGGTGACGACGGAGGCTTGCCACAACAGTTCCTTCTTCAGGTATTAGCAGAGGGCCAGCTGACGCCATCTTTTAAATTGTTCAGCCTTGAACCGAAATTCAAGCTTCCTGGTTTGGAACCAAACAAAAGGTACTTTTAAATATACAGCTATTAATATTAATTGTTTTTCCCCCAATCTCGATCATATATTTTTCAATTTATTAATCAGGTTTTCCTTGTTTTTTTGTTTATAAGCGTAAAACCCTTGAGTCATCAACACCTAAAGGATTTTCTTTGTTCGTCAAGAGTCTCGATAGAGTCCATGAAGGGAGTACGCCGGATTTTAATGGGGAAAAAACAGAAAGTAGTGGAGCGGACAATGAAGAAGAATTAATAGTATAGATGAGTGAATAGGAATATAAATATCAATGAGCAATGATCTTGTGCAATGAGAGTCTCCTAGCCTTAAGTTCCAGCAAACCATGGTTCTTACGGTGCGTCATATACACGCTGGGCCAAACCCCCCTATCTTGCACCTCCCCCTCCCCCACATCTCTATAAATTGCATATCGTTGTGTTCCTTGTAACTATTTATTAAAAAAAAGTCAATGTTCCCACAAAAAAAAGTGAACGCACTGCCCCAAAGATGGCGGATTGACGACTTTGACTTTAGTTAGTTTTTTGGTAACGAAGAATCAGAACTTGGCTTAAATTCCTCATAGTTGGTCTTTTATTGAAGCTGAATAGTCAGAAAATAATAAAAGATGAACAAATATTAAAAAATAATTGGCTTAGGCAATAAAAAACACCAGTAAAGTCAAAAATTTTAACAAAATAATTTTCATGTAGAAAATAAAGCGTCGGTTTTAATTAAACGGCCAACAATAACGCAAAATGAGCATAATAAAGCATCTGGAGAATATATTTCTCTTTCTAAAACACTGATTACTTTTTAAAATATTTGAAGCAGCTCCGTAGAAATTGCACTTATGCGGGGAAAAAGTGGTACCGGCTTAGGTGCATACAAGTCTCTAGGCTTAGTTATAGTGATATAATAACGTTTTTGGTACATTATATTGGCTGTATTAACGAACATATATTAATGCAATCATTTAATTGTCAAAAAAAAATTAAACAATTTTTTTTTAATTTATTATTTTATTTTATTTTTTTATTTAACTTACTTTATTCTATACGGAGGTCGTTTAAGGAGACATCTATTGTAAAAATGATATAATTATAGTAATAAAACTTAATTAAAAAATACTTTGTTGAATATCTTAATTTTTTTATTTAACGTCTGCAATTTAACACTTTGTTTTGTATGTTTACTGATTCATAGAGGTAATTAGGAAACTTCGACAACTTGAACATTTTTAAACGATTCAGAAACACAATAATAGTATGAAAACTATTTTTCTTTTTTTTTATCAGTTATATATATTTTTTGTTTTACTTAAAATCAACCAATTCTTATTGTTTACCATATATTTATATTTATTTGGATAAATATGTATATTTTCAGGTATGATTTACATATTTATGCGAAGAATTCCCTTGGCTTGTCGGAAGGTGCCGTTATCATATCGGGCGTTTCCGGACCCGCTGCAACAGAGAAGCTGACTGGAAGAGGTATCATACTTATGGTTATCAAATATCATTATCTAATGTTTCGATAAATATTATTCGATACATTAGCCACGTGATTAGTTCATATATCGAATTTAGTTTAGTTTTTAACTATGTAAATAAAACTTCAAGAAGTAAATTCGCTAGCATTTCCTTAAGTATTTTTTTTAAAACACTTCAAACATATAAAAACAGTAGGCCTATTTATTTGTGTTTACCTTTTATATATTAAAAAAATATAGTCATCAGTAAAATGCTCGAAAATGCTCTAATTAGGCTAAGAGGTCAAAAAATTAAATTTATCTTTTCTTGCTAAAAAGATTTTTCATTACTGAAATGTGTTGTAGGAGTATTTTAACCTTAATATATTTCTGATTAATATCAAAACATGATGTGTCACTATGCTCTAATGTGTACTCATAATTTCATGTGATTCTCAATTTGAGATTGGAATTTTAAATACCACAGTAATATAAAACTTTAATATAAAAAAGTATTAAAGTTCTTTAAAAAATTAAAAATTACAGTTTAGCTTAAAAATGAGCAATGCAAAGTATGTACTATTTTATCTCATCTAAACTTCTTTAGAGCTGGGTTCAGAAACAGTTTTTATTCAGAAAGGTTTTTAAGCCAGGTAAATTTTTAAAAAATATGAGCCAGGCAGTATTTAACAAGCATACTTGTTACCAAAGAAGTATTCTTTGACAGTTCACTGTCATTAAAAGCGGTTTATATAATCTAATTTTCGTTCTAAACATATAAATGTTTTTCTTTTGGAAAATGGCTTACCTTAAAATACAATTAAATTTCAGCTATCACCATCACTGATTTATTTGCGATCAATTTATATATATATGATGAAAAGAAGGGTGGTTGGGATGATCAGTCAGAAATAAAATGGAAAAAATAAATAATAATACTTATTTTAACATTTGTCGACGTTTCGACCTGAACTTCAAGCCTTCATCAGGGCTGTTCGAAGAGATTGCTTGAATAGAGTCAATTCTAGAAAACTCTATTCAAGCAATCTCTTCGAATAGCCCTGATGAAGGCCTGAACTTAAGATTGGAACGTCGGAAAATGTTAAAATAAATATTATTATTTATTTTTGCCAATTTTTTTGTGACTGATCACCCCAACCATCCTTCTCTTCATTATTTACGACAGTCAACCATCAACCCACAATTATCAATATATATATATATATATACTAAAGCATGTTCCAAAAATGTTTGATATGAACGAAGTATTTAACCCAAATATGAGGTAAATGAGTTTAAGCTCGTCCACTCAGTAACGAAACTAGGTACACCAGTATTTTTTTTTTTTTTTTTTTATCAAGAATTGAAATTGTCATTTCCTTGGCTTCATAAATTATAAATATTCTAACCCATTTATTTCTTCTTGATAATCCATAATAATAATCCAATGGAATGAATACAAAATTTCGGTTTTAAAAATTAATTTCGTAAAAATATTGTATGGTGTGAATGAACTGTTTTACCACTATTACTAACGTCTAACGTCCTTGATTGTGAATTGTATTATATTAATAATAATATAATATATTTCAATAATGAAATAAAAATGTATGTATTTTTTCAAACTTTATAAATAATTAAATCATTTATCGTATTAGCTCAGTCAAATTAGCACAAAAAAGGGGGTCTAAAAGTTTGTGTATTGATTGTAGAGAAGTTCACTATTCTGTCTTCATATTTTCTTAGTTTCTGAATCATGTCTTCATATAGCCCAGTCAAATTAGATAAGTTATCTTGCAAAAGGTCAGGTAATTCAAATTTCTTTTTTATATTGCTAGGTAAGCAGTAACTATAAAAAATCAAAATTTCCGCCCTTGAAATCCTTGTGGGTTTCGATGCAGGTCTAAAAAAACCATTGAAATTTCCAACTTTTTTTGGTTTAAGCTAAATATCTCCTTCTTGAAGTAACATAGATAAAAAATGGTTACATTAAATTTTAACTAACTTAAAATTACCAAAAATTTTTGTTCATAACATTTTTTTCTAAACCCAACAAGAAGCGAACTATCGAGATTTCAAAATGGGTAAAGTTTCGAAGAAACCAAAAATTGAAAATTAAATTATTGTATTAATATTTGTTCGTTAATACAATCGCAATAGCATACTATAACTTAAACGTTTATGAGTATTTAATAATTAGTCAGATTAGTCTAGAAGCCTATACCAGTGACGCTTTTCCGCCAATTAAGTGTATTTTCTAAGTAACTGCTTCAAATATTTTGAAAAGTAATCAGTGTTTTAGAAAAGGGAATCTATTCTTCAGATGCTTTATTTCGGAGCGTTGTTCGTTATTGTTGGCCGTTTATTTACAAAACACGCTTGATTTTTAACTTCAGTTTAAACGACTTCAAAATCTTGACTTACTGGTGTTTTTATTGCCCAGGCCAATTTTTTTAAAATATTTTTTTCATTTTTTTCTATCCTTTAACTATCCAGCTTTAATAAAAGGCCAATTATGGCGAAATTAAGCCAAATGTCGAAACTCAGTGACCGTAGAACTAACTCAAGTCAAAGACGTCAATCTGGCATGTTTGAACGCCTTTTTGGGACAGTGTGGCCACTTTTTTTTGTGCGAACATTGGCTTCTATTTTATAAATAATTACAAGGAACGGAACTATATGCAATTCATTGGGATGTGAGGGGATGGTGCACTGTAGGGGCGTCTGGCTCACCGTATAACATAATTTTCAAAACACCTCCCGATTACTGTCCACCGTTCAAGAAAAACCTCCAAATTCTCTGAACGAGGTTCAAAATGGAGTAACATAATTCTTCCGTTCAAAACTTTTCTTTTTTTTCCTATGCCATAGTCATTGGTCATTCGACCATCCGACATCATACTGCCCAGTATAAGTTTGATTTTTTTATATAATCATTCACATATGTTTTATTCCTTATATCCGTCAATGCAGGACATTTGTTTAGGTGGTCTGCATCCATTTTCGCTTGTTCACATAATTTACAGCTAGGGTCCTCAGCCACGCCTATATTGTGGAGATGACTTTGTAGATAGTCGTGACCATTGGCTAGGCGGAAGCCGGCCTACTGCATCTCTTCTTGGTAGGTCTGCTGGGATCGGATTTTCCACCAAACATCCACAACGTCTCCCTTCCACCTTGTCTTTGTGCGTATTTTTTGTTTCCTCCTTCACTACCATCCTCACCATTCGTCGAATTGAATCGTAAGATTTTGGATGGACTGTTTGAGACAACTCTGCTCCTATCCTGGCAAGACTATCCGCTTCCTCATTTCCTGGAATTCAAAACTGAAAGAACACTATTGTTCTATTGTAAATATAAATCGAAATGGGTAAATTTTGAAATCACGATGGTTCGCTTCCTGTTGGGTTTAGAAAAAAATGTTAGATAATTTTAAGCTATTTAAGGTTGAATGTAACCACTTTCTATATATGTTGTTCTAAAAAGGAGATAGCGTAAACCACAGGCGGATTTACGGGGGGGGGGGGCTTTCGGGCTGAAGCCCCCCCAAAATGGTAAAATGTAACCATATTTTATGGTAAAAAATATTTACAAATTATGTCTTAAAGTATTATTGCTCGTTTAATTACATTTAATAGGACTTCAAGAATCACTTAAACACCATTTCATATAGGTAGTTAGTATCTTTCTGTTTTTCCAAATTAATTATCGGTATATATATGAAAAAAAAAGCTTCCGGGCTGAAGCCTCCCCCCCCCAAATTAAATCCTGGATCCGCTAGTGGCGTAAACCAAAAAAAGTTCGAAATTTCAATGGTTTTTTGAGCACTCCACAATCCCTACGAACCCACAAGGCTTTCAAGGGCGGAAACTTGGATTTTTTTATATTCACTGCACACCTAAAAATATCAAAAATAAATTTGAATTACCCGACCTTTTGCGAGACAACGTGTCTAATTTGACTGGGCTATAAGGACTTGATTTGAATTTTTATTTAAATAATATCTAAAAATTTCACACAACCGTTGGCTCTTAGGCCATGATAATGTCTTTACATCTTTAATCGGAGTATCCATTACTCTGTTAAAATATTTATATCGGGACTCTTTTAAAAGCCGGTGCCGATATATTTTTAAAAGAACTTGTATGTCTGCAGGATTTCCAAAATTCTCCTCAAAGAATCGATCCGTGGTCGCTGTTCCTGAATTTTCAACTTTTCCATCTTCTTTCCCTCTTCTCCAGTCAACAGTTGGAAATTCAGGTAACCTTTATAATTTTCACTTCTAGAGACTTCATGTAAAATTAAAACTAATACTGATTGTGGTGCTTACGAAGAACAAGGCCGGAAAGATGTAGTGGCTTGCCCGAAGATCATATATAAAGAGAAATTCCGATCATTTCCTAGGGTTCTCCAGTACTCCAGAAAGTAAATACTGACGACCAATCTCCACACTTTCCTAATATACTGATTTAACCATAAATTTTATATTGTATTATATATCCATTAACAAAATAGTTTGATCGAAATTAATACGATAATATTGTACAAATAACAATATGGTAATTATTTACAAGTGGTACTCCTTCGGCCATCTTGGTTGAATTCAGGTCATCCACAATGTTTCAGATAAGGTTTACAGAACACACCTCGAGGAAGCGCTACTATTGCAGAGGGATTGTCTTGTCAGCTCTTGTACCCTCCTCATTATGTTCATTACAAATAATTACCAAGTATAACCTTTACAATATATATTAGCAGCATTTTGTTTTAACTTGTCCATTTTTTTTAATCTTCAGTATATCGATTAAGCAAACTTTTTATTTTCGATGTTATTAATAGACACATATTACCTCGATCAATTTTTGTTTTCATTATATATTTCTAATATTATTTATGATTATTGTGTTTATATATTGCCTGTTTTTGTTTTTTTTAACTTCGAGATTTATCAATATTAATGCTTTTCGGTTTCCTTATCCTAAATTAAAGAAGTTGATTTACTTAAGTTTTGTTTTAATTGTGACACTTTATCTGTAATTGTATTATTTATAACAAGAAATTAAAACAAATTCAATTTTAGTTTTCCACCAATGATAATCACAAACACCTGTACTTTTTCGGATTTATATCCGCAATAACTAGGAATATCAATATTTAGGAAGCTAGGAATTCAAATGGAAAGTAAAAACTGTATTCAACAAGACTATGATGCAAAAATTTAAGGTAATTTATAAAACGTGATACTAGAAAAATAATAAATGAAATCCTATATTTTGAGGTGGGGGTGGATATTTATTTCCTATGAAGTAAAAATGGTGGGGAAAGAATGCTAACTTTAAAAAAAGACGGGTAATATGTAACCTAAGCGATATAATTTCTACATTTACTTAAAAAGAAGGTGAGGTGGAGGGGACAAGACAACCCCTCCACAATAGTGGCGCTTTCTGGTGCTATATTTTGTAAACGTTATCTGAAACATTGTGGATAACCTTGATTCAAGCAAGATGGCCGAAAGAGTACCACTTGTAAATAATTACCAACAATATTTATGAAGCTAGGAATTAAAAATAGACGATTTAAAAAATTTGGCAAGGTCTGACCGAACCTCTACTGAAAAAGATCTCGTCGAGGGTTCATCTTTCTGATGAGCGAACGTTGCGAACGACAGTCTAATTATATAATCTAATTAAAACAGTAATGATTTATATAACAATTAATAACCCTAATTAACCCGTAATATATAGAGATTAATGTACTATATATTAATTATAACACTAAGTTTTGTTTTTTAGTAACAGAATGTGCATTTTGTCGTTATTTTAACTATTAAACGCCATTAAACAAAGTATTATACGCTTTCGTACATACTCAGCTACAGTGTTTAATTTTCAGAATTTCATGTACAATATGATTAATCTAGCTTTTGCCTAGTCGTCACACAGTAGTCAAAACAAGTCAGCATTTTGTTCTTCCAGGCAAAATTTTAATTTCCTTCATATGAGCTTTGACATAAGAGTTTGTAAAGACGATTAAGTAAGTAATTAATAGAGGAAAAAAATGTTTAGGTGTTATCCAAATTAATAAAATTTTCAATTTTATTCTTATGCCATCTCATAGAAAATTTAATTATGAGAAGAAAATATTCCATTTCTTTTTTTGCGAAAACCCCTTCTGAAGAAAGATATGATAGAAAAATAACTAAAAAATAAACGTGCAAATTTACGATTTTAAAATTGTAATATCTTTTAAGGGGGAACGGGTTATAGAATGTGACTTATGTCATTGCATTGCGTATGAAACAATTAACAAAACTCATCAGGTTCAGGCCGAAAGGCCCCCCCTCCCGTAGCTCCGTCTGTGTTTAGGGATAAATCTCATCTTACTCTGTAACAAACTACAACTTAATGAATAAATGGGGGGGGGCGGGGTGGCCGAACGGGCTAACGTGTGTGCACAGCAGTGGGCGTTGCCTGGCAACCTGATAACCAAACTTGAAGCCTTAAGAAAATTACGAGTTCACGTCCCGATGCCTTTGGGGGTCTTTTAAATTCCCCGCCCTCACCTCCTGGCCCGGAAAGAAACCCGTATAGCCTAAAAAGCCGAGGTTGGGAAGAAGAAAAAAAAACAAAAAAAAAAAAACATAATGAATAATAAAGTTCTTCGAACGAGGAAGTTTTTCCAAATGTGTGGTATCTTCAGTCCAGTGGGGGGAGAGGGTATATAAAAAAAGCGCATAAAATACTCGATTTTATGAAAATCCGAATTTGCCACAGTTTAACTGCTTAAATGTCACCTTTAAATGTTTTTAAAGAAGACAAGAATTACTTTCATTTGATGTAAATTTAGTCTAGTTTACTATGAAGTAATTGGTCGTGACCTAAATTAAACATTTTTTTTTTTAGTTATTGCTTTCTATTCAACATCAAATGTGGCTTAAAAGATAGAAAATTTAAGTTTCTTGGTTCTCTGTATGTAATCAGACCATGGTTCATGGTAACTTTTTATAATTTGTAATGTCTTCTATCACATATTATAAGTATTATGAAATTAATGTCAATCTAAACTTCATATCATTATCCCGAATTCCCTATTGATTGATATCGAATATAATTCTGTTGTCAATAACTTTTAAGAACCATTAAACGAAAGAATCTTTGAATAATGATTTGAACGATCCAAAATGTTAAAAAAAAATATTAAACTTCAAAAAGATATCGCATACTATAAACAACATCAATTTCGTGGTTTGAAGCAATTTTTGCTTAAAGTGGAAATATCATAAATATAATCTCATAAATATCTCCGCAACCATTGTGCTATGTCTTATCCCCAAAAAAGGGATGACATTCAAAATGCTACATTTTATGGTATTAAATTTTATTCGGGATGCCACTGGATAATTATTGATGATAATTATCCAGAATTATTCAATATAATTTAATTAATAAGAAGTTAGTAAAATAAATTTGGTTTTATAACCTATTTGGTCTATGATTAATTAATTGGACTTCTTTTCACAAAGCCTGGTGTGTATTTATCGTGCTTTCTAATTACCAAACATTACCTGTGATTACAATGATATAAATAGGTGGCATGATTAAAATAACTTTTATTTACAAACTTTTTTTATTTCTATATTTAATAAAGAATATATATACATTATATTTACAAGAATTAATGAATTCAACAATAGGTTGTGAAGGCATGATTTCAGATGGGCTGTTTTGAAAATTTATATTGCCATGAAATATTCTAACATCTTTAAAATTAATTGTTGGGAATAAAACATATCGATTGTATATGAAGTGGTGTAGTTGGTAGATGTCATCGCTGCATCTGCGAAGTTGAGATCATCTGGTCATGGTTCATGTAGGGCCAAGGCTTCAGTCCCCAAGCCGGATCTCCACATCAGACACCTCCTTAGGGCCGGCTCTCCACATCAGACCTCTCCTCCAGGCCGGGCAGTGACCTAAGATCTCTCCTCTAGGCCGGACAGTGACATAAGACCTCTCCTATAGGCCGGGAATTGACATAAGAGCCCTCTCCTCCATGCATCTCAGTGGATTTTATCGAAATATTCAGGGTGGGGCAAGAATGGTTCTCATTGGTTGCAATTTTTGTAGCATAAGGGATGACCACACCCCCAGCCCGTTTCTAGTAGGAGCAACCTCTGTTTCCTCTTTCTCGAAGGTGCTTCTGTTCCCTCCCTTACCCAGACAAGCTTTTCGGTCCTTTCCTAACGTGCCCACGTAAGAGCAGTGTCGGTCCTTTGGTGTTTTTACCGACCTCTGTCGTTAAGTGTTTCATTGCCCATCACAAAAGGTTGCTAGGGGGTCTCAGGTAACCGGACCACTCTCTAAGTAACCACTTTCTCACCGGTAACCGGACATATGTTAGCAATTATGATTTCGTTCAACATTGTTTTTAAATAATAATAATTTTAAAACCTGATTGGCTATGTCCTGATTGCTATCATAGCAATTGATTTTATCAAAAAAATGTATAGGATCATTTTTATAGAGATTTTAAAGTACTTTAATATTGTACTGAACAATCTTTGCGAAAAACCTCATAGTTTTTGAGATATTTATTCTAAAAAAAATTGAATTTTGGGCTTTTTTTCCCCTAACTATACTGGACTATAGAGCAGCCGTCGATTTTCTATTGGAAGATTAAAGGTTTGGGTATAATATCGGTCCGAGACAAATTTTAGGATGGTGTGAGATCCAATTTTGGCCCCCCTCTTATTATGTTTTTTTTTTTAATAGGACACATTTTACATGCCTCTTATTTACTTGCCACTTTTTCACTTATTGATATTTTACTACAGACTCGCCACATAGAACTGGGCGGCAGCTCCATTCGCCTTATGGTAGGGAAGACTCTGATTGGGCAAATGTGAAACAGACGACAGTTAATGCATGATCCCTTGCTCTTAACTCAATTCAATGGATATACCTTAAGTTGGATAGCCATTGACAAGTTTAAAAAATAAATAAATAGATTTATTTCCTGTCAATATTGTTTTAATTATTATTAAATTATCTATTTATTTTCCTTGACTCTTCCTCTTCATTTTTTTCAGGGAAGGATTCTCAAACTGATTATTGGCTCCTGGGTGGTGTAGCTGGAATGGCTGGGATCGCACTACTAGCCTCCATACTCACATACTTGGCCTGTAGAAAGAAGCAGAAACGAGAAGATGTGCCCCTGAACAATCTGGGACCTTCGGTCCACATCAGATATCCTCGAGAAAATAATTCAGATTACTACAATGACTGAAATATATTTATTTATTTTATATTGCTTTATTTTGAGTAACACATTGTATACTGCATACGATTGAGAAAAAAAAATCATTTATAGTAAATTTCGTAATGCTTTTCTTTATTTTAAGAAGTGAGCAGTTTTCTTATGTAAATATTTATCGAATCTCAATTGCAGTTTATAAAGAAAAATATTTCTGTGACAACTTTAAAGAATTTAATATTTTGGTAGCCAATTTTTTTTTTTGTTAAAATTATATTTTATAAAGTGATATTTTTAAGTATTCTATTATTTTTTTCCTGATCCCTTGCCCTTAAATTTATTATGTTATTTTTTCGTCAGTTTTGCCTGACTCAAAATAAGAAAGTGAGACGAACCTATTTCAAATATCAACTTAAATCATTAAAATTAAACAAGTAGACAAACTGATTTTTATTTAGATTATAGAATTAAAAACTGGTCCAAAATAACTTTGGCACAACTATAAATATTTTAATTGCTTAGTTGTTGAGAAACCTAACTTATAAAATAAATAGAGAGCTGTCACTAGCAGGTAGCAGGGTTAGCTATTATTTTTTTTTTTTTTTTTTTTTAAATTTCTTTATTGAGTATTATAACAATCTTTCTGTTGGATTATTAACATTTTTAATAATTATGTCCAACAGACAGCTATTATTAAAAATTTTAATTGATTAAATTTAATTTCAATATGTCTAGTTGAAGACGAGGCAGAAATGGATTGCGAGAGACCTCGTGGAGCCCAAAAATTAATAAATAAATAAAAATTATAAACAATTAGAATGTTTATGATAATATTAAGTAATAAAACTAATTCAGAGAATTTTTAAGCAGGGGTCAGTCAATATAAATGCAAACTAAAGACAGTAGATACATCCCTCAACAACTCTCTAAAAAAGACATCCCAAACAGACACTAAAACGTTTCAACACATACTAAAAGAAGATCTCCTCTCCCCACTCGGTATATGTTGAAATATCTTTGAGTAATGTTATGAGTATTAGCTACATAAAAGTGCTGTTTCGTCTCCCTTTATTTGGATCTGTCTTTTTCAGTACTGATTATCCCTGAATTGTCGAACGTTTACTGGTTTGTTATGTAGAATAATGGCTGCCAATAGAGCTTACTTTTCTCTAGCGAACCTTCTGAAAAGTAGACTATTGAGTCGTTCAACCAAGTTTAGGCTATACAAGACTAATATTCGACCAATCGCTTCATATGTGTGAGATACATGGACCGGGTGGTAACAGGGCATCTGCGAAACGAATAGATCATAGAATAGTTCGAAAGGAAATCCTTAAGACGAATAATAGGACCTAAACTGGAGGGATGATCTACCCGCCTTCTGTTGCGCACCTGAATCTATCCATATGATATTTCTTGATTTGAGAGCAGTTTTCTATTCAGGTATAAGACAGGAAGTATGAGATGCACTAATTAAAATAATAGTGCTAGCAAACCTGGTGCATGCCATTAATCTATCAAAAGCTTCGGTAGTCTTTTCTTTATCCTTCTTGTGAAAGAAATGAGAAACGTGTATAAAACAAGAACTCCAAGTGTTGTAGTAGGATATTGTAACTGAATCGCTGTGCTTGCTCAAGCCGAGCTTTATGCAGATGACATTGTTCTGATTGTTGACTTCCAGGAGGCTATCCAGTCAATATTTAACGAATGACTTGAAGAATGACGTCAGACTAAAAGCAAGGTCATGTATGTTGAAATTGATAGTAAGTTGAAATTGATAGTATAAAATTATTTATATTTTAATAGTCAAAAGTTAAAGTGGTTTAACCAAGTCATGTGGCCGAACTAGTTTTGATTTATGTGTCTTAATCTAAACCAGTTATGATTAAATTAAATCACTTATTATCAGTTTTGACTTCTCTGTTTTCATTCAAAACTGATGGTGACTGAATTTATTAACGTCGAAATTAGTTTTAACCATAATAAGTATAGTCAAATCTGTTTATAAACAGGTCATACATAGCATGAAATACCCACTCCACTGGTATCAGAGAACCTTGATAGTGTCGCAGATTATCATCTACTGTGTCAATAAAGAAATATTTTCGTCCTGCATGAGACTTTTTATACCTGTTAAACGGTGAATCTATGCTGTCAGTTGTAAGCTCAAGGCCCGATTTATTTACTAACGTTCCATATTTAGTAAGATATCTATCTACCCCATGTGGCATTACTTAGAGAAAGTTTTAAAGCATATTGAAGATACTAATACCCACAGACTAAAGTATTTAATCTTGTGTTTAATGTGTACATTAATAAAATTTAAGTTTTCTGCTTATTTGTGTTTTTTCTTCTTAGGCTGTATCTCCAACCAAATTCAAGAAAAAAAAAATAAATATAGTATAAAGTAGTAGTATTAAACGTAATTATTGGTTTATACTTTTCCAATTACCACTTCGGTCATTGTTAATTTTGACCCCTCAATTAAAGATTTAAGAAACGGTATAGCTTCTCCATCAGAAGAATTCTGAAGAGATGCAGGGAGTATAATATTCACACACACCATCTGTTTATCGACTTTCGAATGGCTTAAGATAATATAAAAAGGAATGAGCTTTACTAGAACCATCTTGAAATGGAAATACCACCGAAGCTAACATTTTTGATTAGAGCTACAATTAAAAAGGTGCAATGCACAATGCGTGTTTAAGATGACATGACTGATAGCTTTAAAAACCTCTAAGAGCCGAGAGAGGATGATTGTCTCGCAATCCTGTTCTTCAATTTTTCTCTCGAAAGTGTAGTACGAAAATATGGAATACAATTTGAGGAACTGTAACTATGATTCTGGCCTTCGCCGATGATATAGGTATAATTTGAAAAAACCCTGCAAATTTGGAATGATTTTATTAGTCTTCAGACATCAGCGGCTAGAGTGGTTTCGAAAGTTAATGAAACAAAAACAAGATAAGTATATGCATTCAGACCAGACATGGGCGAAAAGTATTTTTGTTTTCTAAAATTGAATTAGAATTAACTAGTATTTCAATCACTACTTGCTTTTACATTACTTCCCTTAATTGTTTAATTGAATAAGTCTTTAAATTTCAAATACAAAATTCTTTATCTGTGAACAATTTAAATATTTATTGATGAAAATTGTATTTTAGAAACACAAAATCCAAGGTATTTTAAAATACATTTTTGCCCAGGCCTAATTCAGGCCCACAACAGAATGTGCACGACCAGTTGTACTTTATGGCTGGAGGCTATTCATTTGAAAAGGTGGAAGAATTTGTATATTTTGGCTAACAAGGAAAAGGAGATAATGAGATACATGCAGAGATCCATGGCCAAATTACGCCCACAAATAAATGCTTTCGAACAGGGGTGCACCGAAGGGAGTTTTATGGCGCAACTTGCTCCATTAAAGTTTTTGGGAGGGTACATTTTGACGGGGTTTTGAATTTTATAGGGAGGCATATTTCAATGGGATCGAATTTAAGCAAAGAAAAGACGATAAGGGAAAAAATGGACGAGACTACAAGCGTGCTTGTATATGATCTATATATTTTTTTTTATTCTTCTTTCGCTTGCACTGTTTTTTAGAACAGGAGAGCAATAAAATTTCGTAAAAAGGGGGCTAGAGATTTATGCGCCATCTACCTTTGGGGGAAGATGGGCACCTCGGCTTTCCAAACACTGAGCCCAAGTACCTTTATTGGCTTTTGTCGTTCATTTTATTGTTTTTAATTTAAGATTTGAATTTAAAGATTTCTGCGGTTAGTTTTATCATTCCCTATCTTTCTGATGCAATACCCACTACTTCTTCATTAAAATTATACATTTCAAATGGGTAGTTACTGAGCGACAGTTTGTTTACATTCAGGTTAAGTTGTGGTGGCTGTCTACGTTACTGTTATAAGTTGATAAGAGTTATGTAAATATTTCGTTTTTTAGTTTTTAGTTGTTTTTGAAGCGGTAGATTTATTATGTTTTACAAATAAATATTTTCTAAGTTTAAACCTACAATTACGATGGCTAATAATAAAACAACTCCACAAGAATTTATAAAAGAGGCATTCCCTCCTATGATAGCAGTAATGCATACACCTGGAGTTGATGATGTTTGTAAAAAGAATAATTTGAATTTCATTCAATTAATTAAACCTTTTTCTAAAACCACTGTAGAAAGTAAGTAATTCTATATATTAGCTATTTTGCGAATGATTATCAGTTTCTTTAACATCAAATTATTTCCTTTTATTGTATGATTTAGTTGTAATTTATTGTCATTCAGTATTCAATTTATTATTAGCAAGCTGTTTTAAATATTTGCTCAGGTATTTATTATTCATTGATTGCAGATTAGTATACAATTGTAGCTATCATTGATCTATTTGGAAATTCTTTTACTAAAGGAACTGAGCTCAGTTTTATGTGTAATATGATTATTTAAAAACTATTTGTTCAGAATACAAATTATTGGACGCTTTTAATTAGTTAACTCAGCTTTCAAATATTTAAAATAAGTTTCATTGATAAGTACAATAAATCATTGCATTACTTCATACCAATTAACCTTCTTACTGCCAGTTTTTAGTCAGCATAAACATTTTTAAAGTAGTAGATTATAACGATAAATACATTAAAAACAACTTTAATTTGCTCCTTTCCTACACACATAGATGAAAAAGAATATATATTTAAATTGGAAAATATAATTTTTAGTGTTTGGGTGCCATATTATTATTTATTCTTCAAATGATTTTTTCCCAATGTCACCAAAAAATTTGTTTTATTTACTATCCTTTTATTATAGGCTATCCTTCTACTACTGTTTCGGCTTCATGAACCATTTTCAAGTAGAAACTATCATTTATCTTCTCTACATTTGTATCATTTTTAAATGAAAATCATATATCACTTTTAATTTTTTTTTTCATTTGCCTCCACCTTGATTTTTCTGGCATAGTGAAGGGTAAAGTGCTTGTTCTAAAAGTATAACCAAACCTATTCTAACCAGAGTAGAAAGGTTGAAATTCATTTTAACTAAGGGGCTAGTTTGTCTTCCACATTTTCTTCAAAAGATGGCCTCAGCTTTTTTTTTTATAAAGTATAGATATCTATTTTATAACATTTGGAATATATAGTCATTGTTCAATATTCCATATCAGATGTAAGAATTAGTTGAAGTTATGATGTAAATTCTTACTTTCATGCCTGTTCCTTAATTTTTTTGGGAGAGTAGAGTAGTTCTCTTCATTTACTCGTTTGTTTCAGCTTCATTATACATTTTCAAGTATAAACTACCAAGCATCTTCTCTATAATTTAGTTACTTTTAGACAAAAAATGTACTTGTAATGCATGGTCAGTATTCAGAAAAGTTTTCCAAGTAACATCGGACACAAGGGCTCAACAAAGTCGTAATATCAACGAAATTGCCTAAATAATGGCTAAGATGACTGAGTGTTATGGTGATGGAACACCTTAACAACCTTGAATCTAGCTGCGCCGGTTCTAATCCAGCCTGGCTGGGTTAAAATTTATTTTGTGGTTGACCCATGGAATGACTATCAACCTTTCTAATCTGCACGATAGTCCATCTGTATCACAGAAAAGACGAGGTAGTACTAACTTACTAAAGTAGTAGTGTAGCAGTCTACCAACTGCTTCCTGAAGTGCCTGATAGATACCATGCCCTGATGAAGACCTACAAAGTGGGTCCAAACGCTGTTGTTACTAATAAAATACTATTCTAGTTTATAGTATTTATTTGATCTCACCCCTCGACCAACTCTTTCTCCTAAAGTAGTTGTGGTTCATCAAAGTGTGGATTTAATCAAAGTTGATCCTTTAACAGCTACAGATGGAGTTTATAAATTGTAAATTGATTTCAAAACTCAATTTTCCTTACATAATTTACAATGTAAATTATTGTAAAAACACCCTCAAACAGGAGCAACCATCCTGCAATGTATTTAACTATATTTTTATATTGAGTAATTTGATTTTATTGATTTCTTCCTGGAATCCTAATTAATATGGAATGTATTTATTTATATTTTTAAAATGAAATTTGTTGCTAAGGCCCGCACGTCCAAAGTGGATGAAAACATGAACCCATATAAAGTTTTGATTGTAATATTAATAAGTTATTGGGAACAGTGATAACAATGAGGTTTATGATTGTATATAAGTACTGTAACAAAATAGAATAATATTATCATGAGACTCTTGTTATCCGTAAAATACAATATTAAATTTTTGACTGGAGGAGACTACAATGCTAAACACCAACAATGGGGTTGTCGAAAATCCAACTCCTGTGGTAACATCCTATCACGTGTTTCATCTTCCAACAATTATTCAATCCTTTCGCCCATGAATCCTACTTCTACTTATTGGCCAACATCCCTCAAAAAACGTCCTGATATCCTAGATATATTTATCACTTCCCAGGTCTCCTCCTCACAAACCATAATCAAATCCCTTGATGATCTTTCTTCAGACCATAGTCCAGTTCTACGTTCACTACATTCAAGCTATGCTCCTAAACCATCACCTCCCGAATTGATTACAGGATGACAAAATTCGTGATGATTTGAAAAACAAACTAGACTTAAAAATTCCGCTAAAGACAAAAAAGGACATTAATGGTGCCATTGAAAAATTTACATCAATAACAGTCAGTATAAATAAAAACACCTTTATCAGTAAGATTAAAAATTTACAAAAGACCAGCTTGCCATAGCATATTCGTATCTTATTGAAAGAAAAACGCAGTGCAAGATCGAAGTGGTATAGAACCAGGTATCTAACAGATAAAACTCATTTCACCCAACTGACTAACAGACTTTTTTTTTTTTTTTTTTTTATTTGTTTATTTAGAAATATTACATTCTGTCACATCAAGGACATTTATAATAGTGTTCAGAGAAAGCACACTCACACTCTATTTACAATAAAAAAATAAATAAATAATACAGAAACTTAATAAAAATAAATACAATAAAATAAAATAAATGTATATAAACAAAAGAACTAACCTAATCATACACACTCGGGCTTGAGTGGAGGATCTGGCCATTGCCAAAACTCCAATAGATGCTTATTTACAAAAGGTCTCTGGGCCACTGCCGCTTCAACCTTCGAGGAGGATTGTAAGGATGGGTGGTGCTGGATAGAGATTGTGCAAGGGGATTTGGATGATAGGTAAGGTTCTGGTGAAATTTGGAGAATTTTTCTGGAATAAGGTCTAGGACAAATGGGATATTAAGGTCATGGTGTAGGATTTTGTTATTTACATAGAACGGGGCATCAACTATTGTTCGAAGGACTTTAGATTGAAAGGATTGAATACGTTTGATGTTAGAAGCTTTTGCTGTCCCCCACAGTTCAAGTCCGTATGTCCATATAGGTTTCAGTATTGTCTTGTAGATAAGTAATTTGTTTTCAATAGAAAGTTTGGATTTTCTGTTTAGTATTCTGTATAGCTGGCCATATCGTCGGTTGAGTTCTTGTCTTTTGAGTCTAGTATGTGGGTTCCACGTTAGTCTTCGGTCTAAATGAAAGCCAAGATACCGTACTGTGTCTGAGTAAGGAAGCTGGATGGAATTAAAGTGTACTGGTGGACAGGAACTGCGTCGGAGTGTAAAATCAGACTAAAATCAGAAATTAGAAAATACAAAATTCAAAATTTACTATATTTTACTGGAAAACTTACACCTACCGACAAATCACTATGGACGACCACTAAAAGGCTCCTGAAATTTAAAGACTAATTATCCACTTCTTACTGAAGCTCAAACCTGGTCCAAATCCTATGAAGAAAAATCACAAATCTTTGCTCATCACCTCTTTAAAACCTTTAATCCACACCACGATATTCTTAACCCAAATCACCTTAAATGTATTGAAACAGAACTGGATATCTCACTCCAAATGTCTCTTCCACCTAAAGCCTTTCATCCTTCAGAAATATCCAATATCATTCAAAGGTTACCTTCCCAAAAAGCTCCTATACAGCCATTCTATTCCTTATTTGTATATATATATATGTATATATATATATATATATATATATATATATATATATATATATATATATATAATGCTGTACTACGATCCACATATTTTCCTGGCCCTTGGAAATTATCTATTATCAAAATGATACATAAACCCAAAAAGCCACCAGGAAACCAATCCTCCTATCGCCCTATCTCCCTTTTACCCATCCTGGGCAAAATCCTGGAAAAGCTCATCCTAAAACGCCTGTACCCCATCCTAGATTCCAATCACGTTATCCCAGATCATCAATTTGGATTCCGCAGGTCCCATTCCACTATCCAGCAATGCCATCGTGTGGTGGATGTTGTCTCCTCTGCATTGGAGCTCGGAATGTACTGCACAGGAGTCTTTCTCGACGTAGAACAGGCTTTTGATCGAGCCCTGGCACCCACGGTTGCTCTATGAATTCTGTAAATTCCTACACCCTACATAATTCCTCATTATCCATTCCTATGTAACTGATAGATCCTTCAAAGTAAATCATAATAATGCCTATTCATCCCTTTTTTCCCAGTCCGCTGGTGTTCTTCAAGGTAGTATCCTAGGCCCTATTCTTTACACAGTTTATACAGCTGATATCCCAAACCATCCTAACACTATTATTACCACGTATGCCGATGATACATGTGTACTGTCAGTTAATAACGACCCAACAATTGCATCCAAAACCCTTCAATCACACATCACAAACCTTGAAGAATGGTGTCAAAACTGGAGGATTAAAATAAATTCTAATAAATCCCATCAAATTACCTTTATCCTTCGTCGTAAACCTATGTCCTCCTGTCCTACAGTATTCTTTAATAATACCCCACTTTTCTCAGTTGAACAAATCCAATACCTTGGACTCCACTTAGACAAATGTTTAACTTGGAATCCTCATACCAGACTGAAACAACAAGAAACCGCTCGATGTATCCGATTACTACAGCACTTACTAGACAAACGCTCTAATCTTCCAATTAATTACAAAAGACTCATATACTTGACTATAATAAGGCCTATTTGGTCTTACGGAGTTGAGCTATGGGGCTCCACTAAACCATCGAATTCCTCTCGTATCCAATCCTTACAATCCAAAATCTTTCGTAAAATCCTCAATGCTCCCTACTTTGTCACAAATAAAATCATCCATAACGACCTTAATGTTCCTTATATTTCTGACCTGGCTCAATCCAATTACCTATCCTTTCATAACGAACTTCAGAACCATCCAAATCCTCTCGTTTCTAACCTTGCTTCCTCTTCGATCCCTGGCAACCCTCCGAGGTGTCAAAAGATGTCCTTTTTTAAATACATTTTTAGAGTGCTACCAGTGGGTAGTTTCTCAACAAGTGGTTTCATGTTATTATATTCTTTTGTTCATATTTACTGAATGTATTTTTATTTATAATTCAGTTGTAAATATCATCAATAAAAATTTAAAAAAATTGTTTTTGAAGTAATGTGATTTTTTTTACTTTATTTAATAATTGGATTTAAATGGTGGCCACACATATTATTAGACAAATGAACAAAAGTTGTAAGTCAAGAATATAATAAAAACATCTTTTTCTGAAAAAGACAACATTTTTCGAACAATTTCAATAGCTGTAACTGTAGACTGCTTGGAGATCAATTTGCATATGTATATATATTTTAATTGAGAAGAATGTATATATACAAAAATATTGAGAAGAATATATGGCCCTGTTAGAGGAGGTGAAGCTTTTTGAGATATAAGTGGAAATAAAAAATTGTGGCCTTTCCTTCCTCGGCTCACCATCTAGATGTCAGGACTTTTGGTATGTTCATACCCTGAGCATCCTGAACAAGTTTCTGAATGGATCGGTTAGGTCCCTGCCCACGCACTCTATACCTTCTTTATTGACTGTACTATTATGAATTTGGCATTCTTTGGATGTTTACCTCATAGCGTACTCTACCTTAGTTACGCTACTGTTGTAGAAGTATTACATGAATTGTTCTTAGGATCACAAAACTCGTGGTAGTTACATGATATTTCTTTCAGTTAAATAGACATCTTCATAACCCTTTCCAATAAAAATCTATTATATAAATTTAATTTAAATTCTTAATTGTATTATCACATTTCTGTGAAGTATCTATTGTCTGTATTTTATTCATAATCTAATTATAAAGTAAATTATATAATTTTTAGGTACAATGAAAGACACCACTTCTGGTTTTCATATACCTGTCCGAAATCTTAAAATAGCATTTTGTGACATAAATGCCAGGCCTCCACCTCCAGCTGTTGCTCGCTCATATTTCAACCATTCAATAAGCTCCAATTTTACAGACAAGACTACAAGAATTGTTGTTGGTAAGGAAAGCAAATCTTTTATATAATCATTTTATTGAAATTGGTTACTGTAGTAAGCTAGGATAATGGGAAAACAGCTAATTATTAATTAACTACATATAATTAATGTTTATAGAAAAAAAAGTATGTTTGAAGACACGAGGTTTGAAGTCCTCACCAGGTTTTAAATCTTCATAACTTAGCAATATTGTTCTCTTTAGCCTATTTTAAACATTGTTAAATACCTTTTTTATTTTTTTTTTTTTTACTGTATAGGTGATGATGCAATGGATGTGCCAGTTTCATCTCCCTGGTTTGAAGCATGGAGAGATACTTTCTTTCAAGTACAGTACCCGTCCGAACATGAATTCACTAAACACTTTATTGGCTGTATCCTTAATTTCTTAATTATATTTATCTTTGCAAACCATATACCAAAAACATAAAATATTAAGAATGTTATGTAGTTCTATTGAATTCAGCTATGGATATTAAGCATTTATTTTGGTATTTATGCATAAATGTTTATATTTACTTTTTAATAAATCATTCTTAGATAGTGTATTTCAGCCTGAAGCACTCAACAATAATTCTCTTTCAGTCTAGTGTGTTTCAGATCTTTTTAGGAAAAATCACAAGAGCCTCAGCAATTTAATCCATGATTAAATCATTGAGGTACCAACCATTATAACATGGATATTCCCTTTCTCTTATACCAATGGTACATCTTTGTTATAAGTAACTTTCAGAATTGTGCTGTCATACTAACTAAAAATTGGAGCTAAAAGTTGAAACTTAAATATTAAAACAGTTATATACTTTTAATCAAAATCTTATTCTTAAACTAAATAAAGGATTTGAGAAGCTGATGGAAAAGGAGAGAATCAAATGAAGAAAGGGAAGAAGCATGGCGGATATTCAATTATAAAGTATTCCAGGAGGCAGTGGAGTGGGCTAGAAAGGAATGTTTGGAGGTGTTAATTCTATGGGGAGGGGTATAGAGGTCAGAAACATGAAATCTTTTTTCTCATTTATTTTCATTTCATTCTGATTTATTTTCTGTTAGTGGATAAGAGATTTAAATTGTTGGAGACTGTAGATGTTAGAAAGATGCTGAGAGTTAATAGTTTAACATATGGAGGATGTGAGAAAATATTGTTAATGGGAAGAGGGGAAGAATCACTTTAACTAAACATAAAGGTATAATACTTAAGAACAACACAAGGTACCAGAGACCAGTTCATTATTCGCTTCAATCTTATACCCTCGAGCATAATTGAGAGGCCACCACATACCACACAGCTGTAGTCAAAGTTTAGGAAAATAAGTGATGATCAAGGAGTTAGAATATATGTTGTGAAAGAATATGACGGAAATGTTGGAATAACTTGAGTGTACCTATTGACCATCAAGAAATATTGGGAATAATATCAGGTTTCCAGGACAATTTTTTGTCAATATGGGACACCTATGTTTACAACAGAGCAGTTGAAAATGGAAGGATGATTATTTATGACTAAAGTAGGAATGTTGACAATGGATCTAAGAAAGGAATGGGAACCTATAATGATGGCCTTAGTTTTAATAGTGTTGAACCTTAATTTATTTAAGATAGCCCAGACACTGATCCTATCTAGCTCCTCTTCAATATTGGCAAATACTACTAGTAACTCAGAAGAAGGGAAGAAATAAATAAATTTGGGGGTCGTCAGTTTACAGGTGGTAGTGGCAGTGATGTATTATATTAGGAAGATCATTGAGACAGTTGTTGGAAAGGAGAGGGGAAATTCTCCAAGCCTGTGCTACTGTAGGTAAGGTTAAGAAAGGAAGATTGGTGGTTGGTTCGGAATGGAAACTGCTTGAATTCATGTGATAAACAAAGATTGAAATCAGAGAATAGAGCTGTTGGAGAATAATGTTGATTTTAATTTGGTGAAAATATAGAATGGTCCTAGAATCAGAAGCTTTAGAAAAGTCAAGGAGTATCTGTGCAATTAACTGTATTTTGTCTTTAACAGTATGTACGTCATTTGACTAGAGTAGATTGTGTGGAGAAGCCAGGTCCAAAACCAGACTGGAGAGGATAGCGATAGTTTTAATTCTTTGGTAAAATTGAATGTTATGTAGGTGATTTCTCTGCTGTGTTGAGAAAAGGACTCCCTTCTGCTTGGCAATGTATATATCGAGGGGATCAGGGTGTTTTTAGAGATAGAGGAGCATCAATCCAATAACTGTCCAGCATCCTACAGCTCTCCTACCTTACTTGGTGATTGAGATATATAATACGTTCAAACTTTTCTTAACTTATGGTGAAAAACTGTACTACTAACGTTAGTACTGGTGGGGGAAACTATTCCTACAGTTGAGGTCATTTTTGCTAATCCCTAATCATTATAAGTACTTAAAATTATTCCCAGATAACTGAAACTTATAATGACCTATTTCTACAATCTCCTGGTTTTCATTGGTTCAAGATTGACATGTCCTCATATATTTAGTTTTTAATCATTCAATCATAGGCTTATCTCCATTGCCCTGCCCATAAATGATAATTAATTAATAATTAAGATAAATGATTCTTTCATTGTTGGGAATTAATAAGCAATAATGTCCAAATTATCTGTATAGTCTAATAATTGCATAATCCTGCTATATATTGTGTTATTGATCTGGATTTTTGCATGTTTTTGATTGATTAGTCAAGATTGATGTATGGGCATATTGTATTATATTGCCATCTCAAGAATGATGTGGCATGGGAAGAGATAGCATTTTCATTCCCCAGTTATCAAATCACAAGCAGCCCCTGGTTTCTTAGGAGGGTCCCATAGTACACTGAATATAGTAGACTACTCACACCGCATACTAAGGCTGTTTAAGCAACTTTTCAATTTTAATTAAATTAAGGCAAACAACTCTTAATGAGTTCAAAATAGGCAACATTCAACTTATTTATGCAGTGGACTGTATTTTGATGAATTGGTAGTTTATATGAATTGTGCAAATCGACTTACCCATATATGCTGGCATATATCTAATTACCTGAAGGCGCCCTTGGTACAGCTGTTGTTTCTGGCTAGATCTGTGATGGAATGCGGCGAGTGCTACTCGTAGCTAGTGTGGATTAAATTTTATCTTTTAGATCTTACCTGATCTTCCTCCACCACTCGACGCAATGAGAGAATTGGGCACAATCGATTTGTACAAAACAAAGGCCATTTACACAACACACCCTGTGGTCACCTATACAGGGTGGCATGTAGAAATGCTCAAAGAGGCACCTACCCAATTTACCCAAGAGAACAAGGTCTGATCACCATTCCTCCTTAAAATCTTTCTATCTTCAGTTATCAAAGATTCGCTACAATTGTGATGAACTCGGGGAGAGAAGGGTTAGAAAAAAGTAATTACTGGTGACTGTCAATCAAGTAATCCAAGTGATTCAGTTAACTGAGCCACCACTTTTTCCCTAAATCATCCAGTAAAAAGAGCCTAGTTCTTTAAATCAGTTGGATCATCTATATCCAGTAATTTATTTTACTAATCTTATATAACTTTAATTTATAATTTATTATTGAACTAAGGATAATATTCCTATCTTAGTGAACAAGGCCTAATTGTTATATCATCCTTGGATTCTAATCCCTTGGAAAAGTTGGAAGAATTATTGGAGATATTACAAGGTCATTTAGCTCCTGGTCCTAACAAATTACCAAAGTGGTTTGGACCATCCCTGATTTTAACTGCTTATCTTTACCTTCATGACAATTCAGTTGGGGCCCTGTAAGTACTTAGTTTTTATTTTTGTCTGTAAAGTATATCTGACACAATTTACCACTCATGTGTTTTATTTTTAATTACTAGGGATGTATCAGTTTTTGAAGCAATGAAGGTAACATATGGGATCAACAATTGTTTTCTTCTTTCAATTAATTCTCAAGCTGCAGGGGATGGAGTGCCACTAGTACCAGATCCATGGGCACAACATATTTCATCATTTATTGATTACAAGGTTATTTTTTTTTAACTTGTTAATATTGTAAAAAACGTTTTTATTATTTTAATGATTAACTCATAACCACTTATAATCTTCAACTTCAAAATTATTTTTTGATTCCACTTTAAACTTTTAAAAAAATTTGTGTAAAATATTACAACTTAATATTTTAAAACATTCACAGTGTCATACCACATCTGAAAAGTACATCTTAGCATTGTTGAAAGTAATTTCATTATTTTAAGTATTTTTAGGATTAAAATATATTTTTTAACCTATTTTGTTTATGTTTTACCCTTTAAACATGTCATCAATGCTCTTTTTTTGTTTAGGATGATGATGCTGGTCTTAATCAGGAACAAGCTCAAGGTGTTGAGGCTGCTGAGGAAGCTGGAGAAAAATCTTCACCTTCCACTCCAGTCATTATACACCCTCTTAGCCCTGTTGGTGATGGAAACTTGCCAAATACGTTAGACTATGTGAGCATTATTTTAGAAGAAATATTTATAATACAGATATTTTAAATTATTTTATATTTCTTAAGTCTAAAATTCAAAGCTTAGTTTCATTTTCTAACTAGAATTAAATGGTTTTGGATAAAGATTCAATAGCAAAAAAATATACTCTTTTTGAAAAAAAATTTTTTTTTGTTTTTCTTCTTGTGGTGACTCCTTTCACAAAGGATTTTAATGCATCTGTAGACTACTGCGAAAACATCTCTCACAGATAAGCACTTTCTCTATGAAATCTTATGCATTGTAGTGTATTGTCAAAAGATGTGTGGGTTTTTATCTGATATTTGAACAAGAACCTCTGAGTGTGGCTATCAAATGTTTTAGATTATTAAAGAATTCTGTTTTGTTTATATATCTCACTAAACAATTTTGTGATACACTTTAGATCAGAACAAAAATCTCTTTTTACTGAAAAATTTGGGTAAAATATGTTTATAGTGGGTGTAACATGATTTTAGTTTGAATACTAAAATCTTAAGATTTTTGACCATACAGATTAGCATTAAACTATTTATTTTAATCCAAGAATAACTTTTCTCCATTGTGAAAGTGTTTTTGAGGTGTACCTCAATGGATTTTTCTTAACCCTCTATGATCCATTGTAGATAAAATACCCTAAGGTCCCACTGATGCCAAATAAATTCTATGGAAACTTAAACTTACTGTTTGTAAAACTCCAGTATAGTTCTAACCTCTCTGATCCTTCAAAAACTTCCACTCAAAGCACTTTTGAGTATTTCTTAGATATATTTACAATTGTATCCAAGAAACTACCCATTTTCTTTTCTTGTGCCCAGTTAGCCTACTCCTAATATTTACAAAAACTTTGAAAAGATCCTGCCGAAACAAATACCACCCATAACAGAATTCCAAAACCTTCCTACCTATAAGTTTGGATTTCGTTCATTACATTCCACTATCCAACAAGGGCTCCAATTTGTTGAGCATTTTTCCTCAATCCTTGAAAGCAACTAATATTGTTCTACTGCATTGCTTGACATAGGACTTTTAATACTAATGTTGCAGTTGAGAGAGAAGAACTAGGATCTCTTGTAGTCTTATAGCCCTGGAGCAAGGGATGTAAATTACATAAATGATGAATGTAAATTACAAAAGTGTATATTATTCTAAGTAAAATGAACCTTGTCCGCCATTCCAGAGCCGCTGTTTTCAAAAATGGCGGCTGATTTAAAGAATATTAGGTCATTAACTTAAGGATCGAAGTGGGAAATATATTTTGAAAAATGTGCAGCCACAAAAGCCATATTTTTTTTATATTTTTTAACATACAACTCCTAAACAGTGTATCAAAGCGAAAAATGTACTATTTAAGAAATCAAAGAATGGAAAATTTTCCATAGAACAAGTACCTAAACTTAATAATTTTGTCAAGTGGTATGGTAGAAAACTATGATCAACGAACGCTGATTTTTATCAAATTTGTCAAAAACGGAGTCAAAATACTCTAAATGGACCTGTAGCTTGGAAATGAGTTCCCTAAGAGAAAAAACTCACAGAATCAAAGTTGTAGAGCATGAAATTCTGTGTCCACTGAGTACCAACAGCTTTAATCGAGGTTACTTACTCCGCACAAAATCGGTAATCTCCCGATGGTTTGGAATTGGTAAAGGTATGTGTGATTTTCAATATTTTAACAGTATGAGTGTTTATTATACTGAGTTATTCTTGTTTAGTCTGCTATATGCAGTATAGACTTTTTTTTTCCTCTCGGCAGCGATGGATTTTGAGAAACGAGGTGTCAAAAGAAACCGATCTTCATGAAGAAATAACAAATCCCAATTCAAGAGAAATAATTGACCTACATTAAAACTGTTGGTACTCAGTAGAGGCAGAATTTCATTCTACAACTTTGATTCTATGAGTTTTTCCTCTTAAGGAAGTTATTTCCAAGTTACAGGGCCATTTAGAGTAATTTGTCTCAATTTTTGAAAAATTTGGTAAAATCAGCATCCTTGACCTTGGTTTTCTACCATAATACTTAACCAAATTATTAAGTTTCGGTACTCGTTCGATGGACAGTTTTCCGTTCTTTAATTTCTTAAACAGTACATTTTTTTGCTTTGGTGCACCGTTTAGGAATTGTATGTGAAAAAGTATATATATATCGAAAAAATATGGCTTTTTCGGCTGTAAAAAGTTTTTCATTGGTTGCTCAAGATAGAAATTTAGGATTCTATGTTTAATTCCATATACACAAGTTAAAAAGATAACAAATTTTCCCACATTTTTCAAAATATATTTCCCGTTTTGATCCTCAAGTTACTGGCCTAATAATCTTTAAATCAGCAGCCATTTTTGAAAGCAGCGGCTCTGGAATGTCAGACAAGGTTAATTTTACTTGGAATAACATACAATTTCATAATTTACATTCAAAACTTCACCTGTGATGAGGCCGATTTTTGGGCCCTGGCTCTAGGGCTATTATTTGTATCTCTACATGCATACATTTTAAAATGTTAACTTAATTTTATGTTTAACTTTTGTTTGTTATTTTCTTTTCTTTTCTTTATTTATTTTCTGTAAATAATGTGTGAATAAACTCATATCTCAATATTACTTATATCTTATTTGTTATAGTATGTAATATTACTCAATAAAAAAACTTCATATTTTTTACTGCTACTGTTTATACTATTATTCCCAAAATATTTTGTATGTACCAAAACAAAACAAAAAAACACATTGATAATTACATTTTTATCGCTACTTTTAGATTTCTGATTCAGAAAAAAATAATGTACCTGAGCATGGAAAACTTTTAAGTCCAGAAGATATTGACAGGATTAAACAATTTTTAAATGACTTTTGTGTAAAGGCTCTTATTCCTCATTTTGAGCAACTCATACATCAACTTAGTGACCAGGTATCACAAATTTTATATTTTAATAATAAATTAAAATTACCTTGTATTTGTACTTCTAATTATTTAAAAAATAAGTTACCTTTACCGTTTAAGTTAAGACTTTCTATTATCCTTTTTCTTTTAATCTAAAAACCTATATTTAATCATGAATCTGGTAATTACAGTGGTAAATTTTTTCCTGTTTTTTTTCTCCTGGGACATCATTTAAGAACAATGACTTATACTTTTTCTGTATTTCTCTCACAAACCTTTTATCCACTGTAATGAAATCCCATATCAATCCCATTGGACCAGATGGCATTTCTGTCAAATTAATAAAATTATGTCTCGCTGAAATCTTCCTAGTTCTCCTTTTCATCTACAATTTCTCCCTACATAATTCAGTATTCCCTACCTCTTTAAAAAAAGCCACTGTCCTTCCTTTAAATAAAAAGTCTAATCCACCTTCTCCCAAAGATTTTCATCCAATCTCTCTAAAACTCTGGAATGACTAGTGCAATCCCAATTCTCCATCTTTCTTGAAGAATCCAACCAACTTGATCCTCTCCAATCTTGTTTCTGCCTAGGCTGCTCCATGCAATCAGCTCTAATTAATATTATCAGTGATGTTCAGGCTGCATAATAAAAATAAAAACAATTTTCCCTCCTTGACTTATCCAAAGCCTTAGGCTCCATTAACCTTTCAAAATTAAAATCATTATCCTTCTCCAACAGTTCCATCTCTTGATTTCAATCTTTCCTATGTCAACGTTCCCAAGCAGTTTTCATTCCTAATCAACCGCTTTCTTCCTGTTTTTCTCTATTCTCAGGAATTTTCCAGGGTTCTAGTATATTTCCTCTTCTTTTTAGAGCCTGTATAAACGATCTTCATTAATCAGTCATTAATTGTTCCCATCACCTTTATGCCGACAATTCCCAAATATATTTATCAGTCTCTCCTTTTGATTTATTTGCCAGGATTCAAGAAGACCTAGAGCGAATAAATGCTGCTAAAACTCAGGCATCTGTCATTTGTTCCAAGCCCCTTCTCCAATCTAATTTTAATTTTCCCACTCTATACCTAAATGACCAACCTCTACTCCTCTGTTAAAAACTTTGGCTTTTTTCATTGATCAAACTTCTCCTGGAATCACCACATTTTCCAAATCACTTGACGATAAATTTCCACTCAAATTATTCCATCGCTTCTGCCATCTCCTATCACTTCTTATCATAAGATCCCAATCTTCGGAGCTTTATACTTCTTTTCACAAACCTGTCCCCTTCATTGCCCGCTCCGCTCTAGAATCCCCTCCCTTTAAAATCTCAGCACACCTTGTCTTATCCACCTTTAAAACCCTCCTATTCCAATTACTATACACTAAACAGTCAGAAACTGGCTAACCACATATTAAGTTATAGTTCAAAAAACAGGATTTTTTATTATTTTTTTTTTTTTTTGTACTTATTACTTATGATCTTGTATATATATTTTTCACACTACCTTTCTTTTGACTTCACAGTTTTATATATATACATATACGTACAGTGGCTCATAGTCGAAATGATACACCTGGATATTGATAGAAATTATTGAATAAATAAATAGTTCAATTTACATTACATTGAAAAAAATCATTTATTTTAATCAATGAACATCCTATTAATATGTTCTTTTTCTTGTTCTTATGTTATGTTCTGTTTATTGGTGTGGGGATGTATGGCGGGTTTTCGTGTGAGAAATCCTCACTTTATAGTGAAAATATTCACATGTTATAGTAAATTAATATGTTTACATAGACATTTTAAGAAGAAACTTGAAAGAAATTCTGGAAAATCCAGGGCTAAAAAAAAATTAGTTTTTGTCAGAGTAATGACCCCAAACATTCTGCCATATTATTTAAGGAATGGCTAATTTATAATTGCCCCAAAAGTTATAAAAACTCCACCACAGTCACCAGATCTTAATGTGATAGAACACCTGTGGGCAAAATTGGAGGTAAAGATTAGAAAATACTAAATTTCTTGCAAAGAAGACTTAAAAGAGATATCTCCTCAGGCTTAGTCCAGAATTCACCAAAATACTGTTCGACTCCATTACAAATATTGAAAAAAGTGGTAGAAAAATAATGGCTTGTCTACAAGATATTGAACTAAATTAATAGTATTTAAAAGTTAAAAAGAAGTGAGGTGTATCTTTTGACTTTGAGGTAAAATTGTCCTTGTTTTTTTTTTTTTTAATAATCACATTTGAATATTTTAATTTTATTGAGTTTGTACTTATTTAAATTGAGATTATAAATAAATCCGTTTTAGAGTTTCTGGTTTTATTTGTTTACTGTAACCATTTAAGTCTTTTTTCTATTTTTCTACGGGGAGTATAAAATTCACTGTGTGCTACTATATATATATTTCTTTTTCTTTTTTTCTTTTCTCAAGATCCTGTATATTCTTGCATGCCTGTACTTATGAACTTGTATATATATTTCTTATTCAATGTCGGTTCTGTTTTACAAGAATTCTATGCTCTTAAAGTATTTTCTTATTATTTTTGTTATATATGTGTTAATTTTTATTAAGATATAATATATAAAACCTTATTTCTTTATCTTTTACTTTAATTCTTTTTACTTTGTGCCATCTATTAGAAGAATTTATTTTTTATTTATTGTTTTCCTTCCTATATTTTTTATTTCTTCATTTTTTTTAGCTTATCAGCGATTATTTTGTTTCATTTCTTTTTCATATTGAATGTAGCTATAAGTATTTTTTAAATAGTTCCATTGCTTGGTTTTGTATATACTGATAGTTTACTTAAGTTTATATCTGTTTATGGATCTGATGTAATTGTGCTGCTTGCCTGAAGTAATTCTTTTTTTTATGTAACAATCTGTTATTCTTAAGAGACTTCGCCCCAGTATGAAGTTATTTTTCTGTTTCTATTCCTAAATGGTACAGTATAAAGTATACCATTATTTCTAAACTTTCCATTTTCACCTTTTGCTTGTCCCTGATGTTTTTCAAAATTATCTTAGATTATGATAGATCAAAATATAAACTTAGAGGGTTAAAAAAAAAAAAGCATAAATATTCATGTAGAGTATTTATCATCAGTTTTGGTTAAGTTTTAAAATAGATCAGTTTGTATTTGTTTTTTCTTTTTTATCTATTATATTATGGAAGTTCATTTCAATACCTGGAAAGAGGTATAATTGATGTCATATCCCTGGGATAATGCAATTTCTTGATAAAGTAATATTGTATTAATAGTTTTTAAAGTTGCTCAAAATTACCATCTGCTTAAACTCTATTATAAACATTTTTCATCTAAAGCTCTTGCCAAAGGTGATTTAAAAAATATTTATACAGTGAATGTCAGGAACAGTGCAAGATTGTTGAAGAATGAAATGAAACTGATTGATTTGAATTACAATAAAGTAGTTTAAAATTTGCTGTTGATTAAATAGAAGAAACTAGAATAGAGGAATTAACTAAAATGAAAATTTTACTCTAGTCCATGCCCAGAACAGAACACTGGTTTAAAATCTTAGGGCGAAATACTTCTACTGACTAAATTAGGAAATGTGTGGAAAATCCCTTCTTATTGATTATTCTGAATATTATTTGTTTTGGTACAAACAGTCAATCTCTTTTGAGTAAAATTTTAGGTTTTAAAAGTAACCTTCCAACTATAGGGTTCAAATATTTGGAATGAGCATTTACTATAACTAATCAATATTTGCGATTAAGTTCAAGTATAAATATTCTAATTACCCTGGTCAACTCTACTTTTGTCTCATGAGTACCAATAGATAAACATAATATCCTCTTTGTCAGGTGGTACTTCTTTATCATTTTTAATATTCTCCATTACTACATTCACCTGTTCTATTTCTTTAGACTGTTCATGGTTCACACTCCTTCTCCTGTGACCAATACATCTCTCGTATTATCTTTAACAATTGTATTTTGGTACTTATACCCAATCTTATAGGCATTAATCTTCCTGGACATTTTCCTTCTTTCGTTATTTGTTCTAGAATATTATATTTTCTCTACCTCTTTTAGCAAGGCTCTTCACTTTCCTCAATTTAAAGCTTAATGAGTACTAATTCAATCAAAATTTCTAAATTTATTTTAAACTTTCTTTGAATTATTTTCAATTCAATACTTCATAAGGAAGTACTATTTCCTGATCAATGGTTATAGAAGGAAGTAATGTAGTTGGTAATATGTTTTTTCACCGACTAAGGGTATCCTCTACGCTCTTTTTTATTTTGAATATCCATATCAGCTTGACAATAGGGAGTTAGGTACATAAATTAAACTTAATTTATTTTATTTATCATAGTTATTAACCACTATCAAAGTCATTGCATTTAGTGTAGTATTAACATTAACACCTATAATTTTAGATATCTAACAAGAAAGGTGTAAGCAGATCATTGTTTAGTGCTACAAAGAGATGGTTTGGTTCCAACAAACCAGGAACTCCTGGGAATCACATCTCTCCAACAGCTATTGCGTAAGTTTTATTGATAAATTGTATTGTAAAAAAAAAAAAAAAAATAGCTTATTCTATATACTACTATAAATGTTTATTTTTTTTTCTATTCTTAAAATTCAAAATAAAATGAGTCTCGACATACTAAATAATTCATAAATTAATAATAAATAACTATATTAAATAATTTCATTTATGTATGCATTTTAACTTGGATAAGGGCTAAATTCAATAATTTGTTGTTACCTAATGATTTAATCAATTTCAAATTAAATAATAGCTGTTTAATTGAAGACGAGTAAAAATATTAAAATACCAATGCATTTTTTTATTATTAATATAGAAAGATTATTATTATTATATTACCTTGTTACTTAATAGTTTTGTATTTGTTAATATTTTTTTTCATATAATAATTTATTAAAACTGAAGTATATTATTATAAAAATAAATTGTAAACGGAGTCATGGACTAGATTGCTTAATAGGATTTTTTTTTAATAGCAATCCTGATTAGGCAACTCCTATTTTTTCAAAACTAAACAGTTATGATGCATTCCTAATGAACATTTAAAATCAATTTTCTTTCAATATTAAAGGTCCCAATGCCAAAGAATATCATAGCAATAAAACACCAAGCTGTAAACTGACAAAAGAAGATCTTTTGTTAGATTCAAGATGTTTTATTAACTTCTAGGTAACTAGTCTATGCATTTGTTCATAATTCTCTTTAAAATTCTCTTCACTTGCACACTCAATAATTTTAGCAGCTGTCTGTATTTATTGTTTGTTATCATACAAACAAAACATTTCGTTTGAGATTTCACTTACAATTTTAAGTATATGACATGTTAAAACCAGTACAAAAATTATCTTACTTTGTTTCATTAATTGTATTTAGTTCAATATTTATTTTTAGATGATATATTGTCCATTTTGTCTCATTAAAATGATCGATAAATCTATAGCTAATTTTCTTAAATATTTCATTACTATATTTACAGAAGAAATAGTTAATTTATTAAGTTATACTCCTCATATATTTAAGGTTACTACACTACACAGCATTTTGTTCTAATTGATTACATTAAACAAGTAAAAAAAATCTAATTAAGATAACTTTGATTAATCATTAGATTGTGACTTAACTTATGAAATACTTGGGAGAATATAATAATAACAATTTTCTGATGCATAAAATATTTTATATTACAGATATTCCTCTGATTCTCATGAGCTACAACTTAGGAAACTGGGAGATTTGTGCTTTATGGTAGGTCTATATTCTCTGGCCTTTACTGCTTATCATAGTGCCAAAAGAGATTTTGGGGGAGATGGAGCCTGGCTGCATTATGCTGGCGCTCTAGAGATGGCAGCATTGTCTGCTTTCATGTCTAATTCTGATCCGGTTTCCAGAAAAGTTGTTGAATACGCTGAAGAGAGTATATTGACTTACCAAAATTCATGCAGGTAAAAATATAAATTCATATTCATATTTTGATTGGCCTTTTTTTAAAAAAATGAAATGGTGCCTTGTTCATTTTTTTGAGAGGTTTTAACAGTTTGCATACTAGATAACTTCTGATGAAATATTTATCTTTAATAATTTTCAGTATTTATTATTTAATATTTATTATTTATTTAGTAATTGATGGGGCTTTTGAAGTTAATAATAGTTTTTACAAAATATATAAAGTTTGGTCTCTAATTCATGTATAATTTAAATTGTTTTACATATAGTCCGTAAACTGTTTTTTTTATAACAGTATCTATTCCTTGTCCTCTGAAATAACTTTTTTTTTTTCTGTTTTTAAGTATGATAACTATCTATTGCTAATGATTATTAACATTGATCAATTGGAAGTTTAAGTTGGTGTTTAATGAAGCAGTTGATTTAATCTTATATATTATTTCTCAAATATATATCTCTTTCTTAACTCTGAGGAGTGATGGATTTTGACGAAGGAGGTATCAATAGAAAGGGAATATCCAGTTAAAATGCACGAATCGTAATTTTGATTCCTAGCTTTATTCCAGGACTTAAATAAAAGTGAATATAAAAGTGGGAGGTTCAAACCATGTTCACTTCAAACCATAGGAATCGTAATTTTGATTCCTAGCTTTATTCCAGGAATTAAATAAAAGTGAATATAAAAGTGGGAGGTTTCAAACCATATGCCATATCAACGAATCGAGACGTTAAAAATTAATTCATAATTTGCGAATAACTCAAAAAGTATGCAATTTTTGGTTGAATATTTGAAAACTTACTAAATTCCCTACAAACCGTAGAAAAATCGGACGATTTGGTGCAGTTAGTGTTCTGAACATTTAGTATTTGTTGCATATGGGAATTTAAGATTTTGGGAATGGTACTTTTTCTACTGGGTACAGTATATAATGTATCAATTAGTAATTTTTTTAAAATTAAAAACCTTTGATTATTTTTATTTAATTAAATTATTAATTTTATTTTTATTTATATGTGCCTTCCTTTAAACACTTTTTGGAATGTTTGTCATATGCTTTAATTACATTAGCTTTTACTTTTAGATCTTTATTATTGGAGTTTAGGTATGACGCGGCCTCTATGGACTGCTAGCTGCAGTTTTCTTGTTATTTATATTTCTTATAATTAAATGTTTATAACCTGAACACTGATAATTGTTATAAGACACTTATAATCCCTATCTTCATATGAAATTAGACTCTTGTATAATAAGAAATATAAATATATTTGTTGTTGCCTCTTTTTTCGTGTTTCTTATTAATATATATATATATATATATATATATATATATATTATATATATTATATATAATAACAACAACACATTAAATAATAAGATAACTGCAGATAGCAGTCCATAGAGGCCTCGTCGCTCACAAGTACCGAAGTTTATTATTTTAAAAATACACTTTCAATTTTTGTTCAATGATAATATAGCATACATAATATGCTATTGGACTAACTAATCCTCCCTGAGAATTTGAGCCTTTTGTCTTTTGCCATCATCAGATGTTTAAAGCAATGTTTAGAAGCTTTTTTATGATAATCATGATAATTTAATGAAGGAAAAAGCTAATATTCAAATTATAAGTTTAAGGAAACGCAATAGTTAAACCGTGGCAGATTGTAAATGATATTTATAAACTGATGGCTTAATTAATATATGTATTAAACCTTTGCATATCAAACATTATTGAACAGAAGTTGTGTTGAGCCCTTGATGTATTAAGATCAGATACAAATATTAAGTTTGTGCTGAGTATTCGCACGGCAGCTAGTAAGTATTTAGTTGTCTCATTGGAAACTATCCTTTCAGTTTAAAAGTTACCTTTTCAATAGGTTTTTAGTTTACCATAGACTAAAAATGAATAAATAATGGTATTTTAATATTTTTAAAAATAATTATGTAATCTTTAAAATTGGCAGTTATAAATTCATGAATCTTAGTATGGCGTACCATTGATTATTTTCAATTGAAGCATTTAATTGATCTTGTCTATTTATGATCTTCCAACTAATGTCATCCCAAAAATTGCCACATCTGTTCATATATTTATGAATCTTCGCCATGTAATACATTTTTTAATATTGAATTACCTACGAAATACATCTTTCATTAAACTTTACTTGATTTTTTTCTTTTCCAAAAAATAAAAATATTTTCCAGAAAAAACATAAAATTATTCTGACTCATGAGAAGCTCAATTTAAATGCAACAAAAGTCATAACAGATAAATTCCATATCTGAGAATTTTAGTAGTAATACGTACTGCTACTATGTATTACAATGAATTATTTTTTTTAATTAGGATGAATCAATTTGCAACAAGAGCTACTCTATTAAGTGTTGAATGCTTGAAAGCACGTGGGTTATTTGGTGAAGCAGCTAAGCAGTTGATACGGATGTCTGGAGAGGACTCAGATCTTAGAAGTGCTGTTCTTCTTGAACAAGCTGCTTATTGTTTTTTAAGCAATAATAGACCAATTATGCACAGAAAATATGCCTTTCACATGGTTCTTGCTGGGCATAGATTTTCTAAAGCTTCGCATAGAAATCACTCAATGAGATGTTATTACCAAGCATATCAGGTATTTTTTTTTTTAATTTTAGTTGTATTATAAAATTTTCATTATCTAAATATCCAAACTCATCGCTTTTTTTTATATCTTTCATCTCCTTTAGTTGATGAAAGTTTACCCCTGTTGTACCTGATGCCTTCTGATCTCTATACTCATAACTAACTATAATCATAAAACTGCTCTGTTTGACAAATCCTTTGTCAACTGTTACCTCCTTTGGGATCTTTATTGCAATCCTAGTCCACTAACCCCCCTCTCTTTCTATATTTAAATCTTATAAAATGTCTTTTCCAACTATAATGTGTAATTTCCTTCTGTCTCAAATTAAGGCAATTATCTATAAATTATGATTAACTTTAATTTTTCTTTCAGTTATTTATTTGTATTCTTTTACTGACTGAAATATGTATAAAAACTGATATATTTTATATTGATAATTAAATATTTGATATTCATTGATGTATTACCAGTTAACCTTCTTTCATAAGGAAACATGATGTGTATAATACTTAAATATTTATGATTTAAGTTTTCATATTTTCCAGCTACAATTTTACAACTGCTGTGGGTCTGTACTCTTTATTATCTTTTGATATTATAGCGCAAAACTGAGGTTTCAAAAAAATGTATGCCAATCTTGATTAGTAGATGTAAAATACAAATTGCTATAGAATCTTTTTTGCTATTGTGCACTATAATTTAAACTATAATTTTGGACAAAAAAATATTTCTCCTGGGGTCTTCATTCAGAGTTCAATTGATTATGTATTTTCGAATTATTTTGTATGCTTTTAACCTTAAATATCTTATTATACCAATTTAATGGGGGAAAAAAGGAAAACTCTCGTAATGTAATGATATTTGCCAAGAAAGTATTTGTAAGTAATATTGAAGAAAACTTAACACCTTTGTTTTGAGTCTGAAGAAGTTATCAATTTCTTACTTTGATTCAGAGAAAGATTAGATGTTTGCACACGGCAATTCATTTGATTCTATTATCTAAATTGATGCAGTTCAGTCTACAAGCTTGAACGATTCTCTTTGTTAACATTCTGAAATAAATTAAAAAGGCTCTTCCCCATTATTGAATCTCAGACAATATAGTATGGGATGCTTTTCAGTTTTATACATATTTAAAATAAAAAAGGAAATTATTTGTCACCAATCCTATGGAAAATGAAAAGAAGCAATCATATTTTTATTTGTAATGAAAGAATTCAAAAAATTACAATTGACTTTTAAAATAATTTGGATTTAATAGAATTTGGATAAGGAAGTAATATATATGTTAAAGAGCTTGAATTTGGACCTAAACATATTAAATATAACATCAGTAGGTTTGATGTTAAAGAACTCTTCACAAATGTTCCTATTGATGAAGTTACCATGATCATAGATAAAAATTGGAACATTATTAAGAAATATACAAATATTAGGAAACAAATGATCTACATAGAAAGCATACAATTATGCATTCTAAATAATTATTTTAAATGTAATGATAATTACTACAAAATGATAAATGGTCTCGCAATGGGAGGTAGATTATCAGTGGCACTTAGTGGTTGTTATCTAAACAAAATTATTAATGAGTAACTCGCAAAGATGATATAAAAACCAATATTTATCAAAAAATACGTAGATGACCTATTAGTAATCACAAAAAAAAAAAAACAAGATGAAGAATTATTAAATTTATTGAATAATATTAATAAAAAAATAATATTTACTGTTGAAAACCTATTAACAATAAAATTAAATATCTCAATATAAATATCATATTTCATAAAAATAAAATAGAAACTTTTTGGACAATTTTTGATTGTCCCATTGATCTAATTGGATTAAAAATGTAGTTATTAACTGTGATACGTTCAGTCTTGTTATAAATTATAAGTCTTTTTTAGATATATGGCAACAAATCATGGTGTGCAGCTGAAGATCACATTCTTTATACAATTGGAAAACATGCATCTCACCTAAAACTAGCTACCAATGCATTTCAGGCTTTAAGTCGTTTAGTTACTAGGCCTAGCAAACAACCCTCACAGCAGCAGGAAATATATCTAAAAGATTATTTATTATCTATTCAGGTATGTATGAATGTGTAAGTGCTTACTTCAGGGCTGAGATTAATATTTTGATGAGGGGGCACAATTAAATTTACCTCCCCCTTCTATTTCTGTCTTTGTCGCTCATATTCTCTGAGTAAGCCATGGCTGGAATGATACCACTAGTATAGGTATTTTGATCCCAATTAAAGCTGTTCACAAATATCAATCCATGAGAAGAGAATCCCATTTATTGAAATAAAGATAACTTAATTTTTCAACATTTTATCTTTGTTGTTAATTAATGAAACTCTAAAAATTTTAAATGATCAAATAACTTTATTTATGATTTCCCTTTTTCTTTATGATAATATTGTTTTGATTTCGTTTAATTGTTTCTTTTTTTTTTTGAAAATTAATACATTCTGCCGCATTAGGACTAAATTAAACATTCACACAATATTTACATACAAATGATAACTAAAATAGAGATAAAAGAAAAAGAGTTTAACATACATAGGTAAAAAATAAAAAAATAAAATAAAACAAGAGAAAAAATAAAAAGAGAAAAGCTAAATGAAATTAAAATATATAAAACACATTCATACCTATATACAATATTAACATTCGCCCAGAGGATTCTGAGTCATGCTTTGTCCCCCAAATGTGGAAGCCTAGGCAGGACCCTAGGAAATCCCAGTGCTTCTCTCCCAACCTCGTCACTGGTATTGCGAGCCAGTAGTGACTGATGGAGGGCACTAGAGCAGCAGACGCTCAGGACATGAGTGGAGAATCTATTCCCAGTACTCCAATATATACATATTTACAAAAGGTCATGGGGCCACTGTCGTTTTAATCTCCGGGGAGGATTATAGGGATGGCTGGAGCTAGATAGGGATTGTGCTACAGGATTTGGATGATGAGTGAGTTTCTGGTGAAATTTGAAAAATTTGTCTAGGATTAGGTCAATAACAAATGGAATATGAAGGTCATTATGGAGGGTTTTGTTGGATACATAGAAGGGAGCGTCGACTATTGTTTGGAGGACTTTAGACTGAAAGGATTGAATGCGCTTAATGTTAGAAGGTTTTGTTGACCCCCACAGCTCTAGTCCGTAGGTCCAGATAGGTTTCAGGATTGTCTTGTAGATTAGTAGTTTGTTTTCGACTGAAAGTTGAGATTTTCTATTCATTAGTCTATATAGCTGTCCGAATCGTCTGTTTAGTTGTTGTCTTTTAAGTCTGGTATGTGGGTTCCACGTTGGTCTTTTATCTAGAATAAAGCCAAGATACCGGACTGAGTCGGACAGAGGAAGTGGTATGGAGTTAAAGTAGACTGGTGGACAACAATTGCGTCGAAGGGTAAAAGTGATGTGTTTGGATTTGGATTCATTTACTTGGATTCGCCACTTTTTTCACCAGTGTTCAATGAGAGAGAGGTGACTTTGCAGGTTTAAGGCTTTCAGGATCTAGATTGGAAGATAAGATGGCTGTGTCATCAGCGAATGTTGCCAGGAGGGTTTCGGGATGAGTAGGAATATCAGCAGTAAACAAAATGTAGAGAATGGGACCCAAGACGCTGGTTTGGTTTGGATTAACTCGAGGATGTGTTGAGGTAACTTATTTTTCTTAGGAATTATTGGGGAATGATTAGGGGAGGAAGCAGTCCAGACTGCTTGTTGAATGGTGGTGGTAAAGGAGTGTACGGCATTATCAAGGTCTTCTGGGGTTTTCAGGGTTATTCTGATGTCAATTTGTTCGGAAAGGATTTGATGGAAGAGTTTCCAGTTGACTGGACCTCTGATAAAGGACAGTGGAGAGGGTTTAGGAATAGGAGCTAGTGATACTTGGAATATTAATGGACTGTGGTCTGAGGAAAGTTCATCGAGGCGTGCAATGGAATAGTTGAGGGAACCTAAACCACTGTGGATGAAGAAATCAAGGATATCGGGATTTCGGTTAGGATCAGTGGGCCAGTAGGTAGGTGAGGTCGGGTGAACTAGGTTAAAACGTTGGGAATTGAGTGCAGAAAGCAGTGTTCGGCCGCGAGAATTTGTGGTTCTTGAGCCCCATTGTTGATGCTTGACATTTAAGTCTGCACCCAGGATGAAATAGTGTCCTAAGGAATTGAGAAGGGAACTGAATTGGGTATTAGAGATGGATTGGTTAGGAGGGCAATACGCTGATGCAAGGGTAATAGGAAAGAAGGTTTTAATTATGATATTTGTGGATTGCTGGAAATCATGGGTAGGTAATGGGAGTAGGTGGTGAGAGAGAAATTGGTGTACAATGACTGCAGTGCCGGCATTAATTGTTTCTAATAAAGTTTTCTTACTTTCATTCCAAGACTTTCTAATAATAATGTCATGAATTAATTTATATTTAATTTTAAGTTATTTATACTTGGTTTTATGCTACGTATTTTTTACCACATGTCTGCTACAATTTAATAGTTGGTAACTTTGCAGCAATCCTACCAAAAATTAGATGATGAAGTCATTTTAAGCTTGCCTGTAATTGACAGTAATCTCATTCAAGTAGCATTGAATGTTCCAACTAAAGCAGTTCAGCTAGATAGAATACCAGCATGTGATTTTTCTCAAAATGCGTTGTCTCCTATTAAAAAACTTGCAGAAGAATCTATGTAAGAAATTAGACTAGTGTACTTATTTAGTTAATTAATTAATATTAAAACAATTAAAAAATAATTCTATTGTTTCATCAAAATTTAAAGGTGGCACAGTTTAGAAGAAAAAGTATCAAACTATGCAAGTGGCACGGGTTTTGCATCTTTCATGCTTTTCAAACCTATGGTTGATCTTTTATCTAATCTCACTGATAATGCTTCTTCTGCGCTTGGTTTCATCGGAGGTAATGTTTTTGTATAAAAAAGATGTTGTTTATTTATTTTGTTAATTATTAAGTTTTTGTCATTTTTGTGATGGTGGCTTGAAATATTTAACAGCACAGAGCCGGTATGGGACTCTTATTTTGTACTAAAGGTCTATCATGGGGGCATATCTGACAAGTATATGTGTGAGAGAGAAATAAAAGATTAATATGCTATTAAAATAATAATAAATACTGAAATTTCCTTGCATTAAAATTTCATCAATCAATTTTATCTCTGCTCATAACAATACTTTTCAATTCAAAATTCTTCTAAATTGTTAATTTAAATTGTTTTACTTGCTGGAAGGCATTTATCTTAAGTTGTTTTCTATCTTAATTTTTTTTACTCTTCAGAAAAAATATATAATTTTATAACTTTTTATATTTTATTATATGTCTCATATCATATATTTCATTCATTAGTCATTATTTTATTTTTTCTTTAATTATAAATACTTATTACCATCTTACATCAATTTCAATTAATCAAATATGTTGGCATATCTTACATATCATAATTTTCCATTCATATCTCATTATCATTATCATTTTAATTTTATTATTTACAAGTACATATTTAGTTTATCATAACCATTGCAAATTTCAGAAATGTGGCCGCATTGAGTCAAGCTGGCAAGAAATGCGAACCTATTAAAATATTGTCTATTATCCCCAACTACACATTGCACTGAAACTGGTGCTGGAAATACAAATGTTAATGTTTACATTTAATTAATAAAGTAGTTAGAACAAATAAATAGGTTTTATTTACTTCATATAAAGTAAATAATTCATAACTATGAAAATCTTTAGGTGTGAATATCTCCTAAATAAAGCATTTGCAGGCATACCTTCAGAGGAAATTTTTTTCTTGTTTTGAGGTCCTTAGTTCATTTTTGCAGTTTGGCCACTTAACCCTGAATCAACAAAGATGCAATATTGTATATATTGTAATCAATCTATTCATAATGCCCTACTTTATTGGTAATTGAGCACAGAAATCGATAGCTAGAATCTTGGCCTGAAAGATGGACGTATGTCTACCTAGAGATATGAATGTTCCCACATTAAGTTTATCCTTTCTCCAGATGCCAGCCCCTGATCCTTGCTCCATCAAGGATCCATCAGTATAATAGTTAACTCCTTTACACGGTTTGTGAGAGTTATTCCTGCCTATCATCAAACTATATAGCATGTCTCTATATTTATCAACTTCAAGGTCTGAGTTAATCATGAGCACCTCGTTGCTATCAATCCTATCAAAAACGATCTCATTTCCTTGAAATGTCAGGAAAGGAAGAAGTTTGTTTCTATTTTTTCACAGAAATCACAATGACTAAAATAATAAAAATATCACATTTTTTTGTGTTAACTTATTCAAAGTGTGTATGTAATTAGAGGGAGTTGGATAGCTCAGTTTTAGGGTACTGAGCTTCCAATGCTAAAGGTCCCAGGTTTGAAACCTAGCTTATGGAAAATAATTATTTATTGTTTCATTAGTCGTGGGGCTACCCTGGGTCGGGAGATCCTCCTGAGGCACACCCAGCCTCTATAAAGTGGCTACCTATAATTAATTAGGGGGGAAAACTTGGTGGTTGAGCATGATCTCGGTCAAATCATCTCCTTGCACAACCCTTGACCAAGAAACGGTGCTTCCCCTAAATAGTACTCTAAACCCAAGACCCTTGGTGGGTTGTAGTGGTACAGGTGTGTGTATGTAATTATTGATAGACAATATAAGTTTAATTTAACTTTTTTTTTCAGTGCCCATTGGTGTTTGTGTTAGTTTGAAAAATCCATTGAATGTCCAAATAAACTTAAGAAATATTGTACTGTTGTGGAATGCAATTCCTGAATCTTCAGGAATATGTAAAAATAGTTCGCAATCTAGTGCTGCTGCATCTTCTGACCCAGAACCAGAGCTTTCTATTCCTCCTGATTCAACTAGATATGTAAAAATATATATATATATTTATTATTGGGGTCATTCATGTAAAAATATATGTTTTCTTTAATTTGTGTTCATTCCTTTTTTTTTTTAGATAATGTTGATTATCACACCAAAGCAAGTTGGGGAACTTCATATTACTGGTTTGTCTTATACTTTACACGATCCTGTTAGTGATATTAATGTTTTCGGTCACCACCCTTTCTCGATGGTAAAGAAAAGCATAACAGACCGAAGGCTGCAGATTTCTGTCATAGAAAACGTACCCCATCTGGAGGTGTTTATTATAACATAAAATGTTTATATTTGCTAACAAATTATCCTAATTATTGATTTTAAGTTTAATCCAAATCTATTTGATAGTTTTATATATTACTAATTTCTTACTCATCTTTTTCTTGCGTAGGATTCATAGGATAAAATTGTGTGGTGACACAATTAAGCTATTTTGAGTGATATTTGTTTTTGGTCACCACCAGACTCTATCTTCCCATTTTTTATTTTCCATTTATAGCTTCTTTCAGTAACTTCTTTTAATGGCCATGTCATAACTCATATCGCCTGTATGGCTTGCCAACCTAAGTAATTCTGATGTACCTGTTCAAATTAGTACCCACCTAAATTAATAAATTTCAAACAGTTTGTGTTCTTGTTTGGATATTCATTATTTATTTATATTTATTAGAAGTAACAATTTTTCAGCAACAGCCTTTAAAGCTAGGATTTCTCCCAACCAGCATATCTTGTCTTGGTCAGCCTACAATTTGGATATCATTAGTGTGATTTAGTTTTTGGACTGTTCTATTGAAAATAAATCCTATTGTTTGAATATTTCAATTTCAATTTTTTATTGTTTTTTTTTATCATATGGCTAAATTAATTAAGAGACTTTCCTAATCCCAAATCTTCATTCTGTCTTATACTGCTTTTGGATCAAAAAGGTTGTGATTTTGCACCCCTGATAACTGTGGACCCGACAGAGCATTAACTATAGCTTTCAGGATTTGAGCTTTGAAAGGCATTTGATGTTCCAATGTTTTGTTGTCTTCTGAATTGTATGTTGTCTGTAGAATCTGTTAGGTTTGAGAATACCTTAAAGTATAAAATAAAATTACTAGCTTGTAATCTACTGAAAGAAGACATTATTTTTTATATTCTCTATTGGCTGTATTGTCTGTTGAGCTCTGATCTTCTGATTCTTGGACTTAATACTGTGAGTATTGAGATAAATATTTTTTCTTATAGTATTTTGGCAAAGGATGAGGATTTAGTCCAAACTACTTTCTGGATTGATTTATTGAAATAATTTACTGCATTATGTATGTCCGAGATTTTTTTCAAGAATACTACAGATTCATGGGAATATATCCATAACTTATTTTATTTTATTCCTTGTTTTGAAAAATAGCATATTCGCTTTGAACATTTAAAAAATCCTGATGATTGCTAATATTTTAAGAGTTTTGGTATAGAAGTTTAACTTTTAAGTCTGTTAATAATATTAATAAATAATGGCACTTAATTTTGAAGTCTGTTAGTAATATTAATAAATAATAGCACTCTAAGGAAATTTTGTTTTCCCCATGAAAGGAGTTCTATCTGCCTCACTTGGAAATGGAAGGAGTAGCTAGTGATCATAACCTAAATCAAGGTTACATGATAATTTCTTTGTTTCTTACATTAGGAAGGTACACATGGGAATCTGATTCAATTCCTACAGACTAAATCCAACATATGTAGATGGATCGTCATGGTTTCTTTCATTTTTTTATATATCTTAAAATTTTATTAATTGATTTTATAATAATACTCATGAAAAGTTTACTTTTATAAATTAATTTCTTTATTTTTTTTTTAATAATGTGAATATTTGTTTAAAGTTATTTATTAACAGTAAACTATCAAGAAATAATGTAATATATTTTAAATATTATTGTTTTAGCTATAAATTATTGTTTTAAAATTTTAATATATTAAAATTTATAAGATGATGATATTGAAAAAAAAAAATAAAGCTTTAAATATTATAACTTTTTTTTAGGTGTGTTTTTCAGGTCTCAAAAAAGAATTTATTAGTCGTGAAATTCATCCTTTTAATGTTCATTTGAAAAATACAGGCTCAGTTGCCATCTCTAAGATATTTTTTACCACATCAGAAAATTTTAGGGTATATTTGGAGAATCATGAAACAGAGTTTACAGATCAAATATATACTGTGGATCTAGCTTCTCCTCTTGCTCCCAATGATACCATAGACTTGTCACTATTTTCACAACCTATTTTTGAGGGATATAAAAACTTTGACCTTCTTTTTTATTATGAAAGTGTTTTAAAAAATAGTAAACCAAGGTATTTATTTAATGAGTATTTTATTTTTAATCATATACGCTATTTAGTAAAAAATATATTACAGTAAATTCTGTGAATGATCATCATGCTATTGAACTCTTCTCATGCATGGTATGAGCATGATTTTTAAAAGAAATATTTTTTCTCTGGTATGATCATGGTACTGTTGAATGATAATTGGTTGAATGTTATACATAACATATTATCTTTAATTAACTACATTCATTGGGAATAACATACAATATTTACTACATTAAGTTTTGTTTGAGACTTTATATAGTAAAGATCCATTTCTGACCCCATCAACTATTCTCTGCTCCACCCTTCTGGCATAGAAAGAGTAAGTTATGTTTCCTACTTTACTTACATTATATTTTTATCTATTTTGAACTCACTGGGGATCCTGCACCACCACCTTTATTAATTCTGGCCCTTGCTTTATAAATTCTAGAAATAGAAATGAACGATAAGAAAAAAAAAATCATGACATTCAGTATTGATGATGATAATCCTGTCTAACTTTATCCTTTTTGTGTCTTTTTTAAAAAATATTATCAATTAGAGTGATGAGTGTGGTGTGTTTTTAGCAACTCACATTTGAGCCACTTCACAATTTTATTGATCTCTCTCCTCTTATTTTTGTACTATTTTATCATAAATTTATCCTTTTTTTCATTTCAAAACCTCTATATCATCTTATAAATCCTAGCTGATCTCAACATAATTTGAGGTGACAGAAAGCTTTAGAGCTTTCTGACGAGGACCACAAGGATATTGACAAGTTATGGGTAGAGATCAGGGATAATATTAAAGTGGTCAGGAACTCGTGTCTAGGAAAAAAGGATAATAAGAATAACAAACCGTGGTTTGATGAAGATTGCTTAAACATGTGCGAAAAAAGAAAAGCCGCTAAATTAAAAGCTCTAAATAATCCTAGCGAAGACAATCTGGAATACTTCCGAACCTCAAAGAATGAAACGACAAAATTGCTCAAAAATAAAAAAAAGGGAGTATCTTAAAAATAAAATAATTGAAATAGAAACTAATAGAATCGAAAATAACGTAAGAGACATGTACAAAGGTATAAACAGATCATGTAAATGTTTAGGGCCCGTAACGTCTGGAATTAGGGATGAAAATAACAATATTCTGACCGATCCGGTTGACATATTAAATAAGTTTAAGACCACTTGACAATATTTTAAATACGGAAAATTATGATCTGTGTCCTCCTTCTGAGTACCAGAGTGCTGAACCGTTAATAGAAGGACCAAGTAAAGAGGAAGTTGAAGTAGCTATCGGAAAATTAAAATCTTATAAAGCAGCGGGAATCGATAATATTCCTACTGAACTAATTAAGGCATGCGGGGAAGCTGGAGTTTCTAAAATACATCGGTTGGTTAAAAAGATCTGGGAGAATGAGAAATTACCTGAAGAATGGAAAGAATCTATTCTTATTCCGATTCACAAAAAGGGTCCGAGGACGGATTGTAATAACTATCGAGGAATTTCACTCCTTCCGGTATGTTATAAAAATATTCACTTTAATCTTAACCAGTCGAATCACGGAATACGCCGAGGAAATTATCGGAGACTACCAATGCGGATTTAGACGGAATCGTTCGACTATTGATCAAATATTTTCTTTACGGCAAATATTAGAGAAAAAATTAGAGTACAACGGTATTGTTCACCAGCTGTATATAGATTTTAAAAGGCTTACGATTCTATTGACCGCCAGAATCTGTATAATATTCTAATCGAGCAGGGGATTCCAAAAAAACTAGTAAATCTAGTCAGGATGTGCTTGACGGAGACACTCAATAAAGTTAGAATCGGTAATAATTTGTCCGAAAAATTTGAGGTTCGTTCGGGTTTAAAACAGGGGATTCTCTTTCGCCTGTCCTGTTCAATTTGGCATTAGAACATGCCATTAGGGAGGTAATGCGTACCGAGAAAGGGTTGGATCTGGTGGGACAACATCCTTGCTGGGCTATGCTGATGATCTGGTACTGTTAAGCGAAGACGTTGAAACTATAAAACTAAATACGACAACGTTAATGAAAGCCGGTAAAGAACTAGGACTCGAAATAAACGTGGATAAAACAAAATATATGGTTAGCTGCAAAAATGGCGATACTACTGGTGATATCGATATAGATGGTAATATGTTTGAACAGGTAGATAAATTTAGGTATCTAGGTTCTACGATAACTAGAAAAAACGAAATTGAAGAAGAGATTAAGGTTAGACTGAAGGCGGGGAATGCTTGTTATTTTTCTGTGACAAAACTACTTAGCTCGCGCCTCTTGTCCCGAAACTTAAAAATTAGAATCTATAAAACAATTATCTTACCTACAGTTCTTTATGGATGCGAAACTTGGCCGCTTACATTAAGGGATGAGCAGCGTCTTAAGGTTTTTGAAAATAAAGTATTGCTTAGAATATTCGGACCGAAGAAGGATGAGTTAACCGGAGAGTTCAGACGGTTACACAACGCCGAATTGCGTGAGACTGTATCCGGGTAATATAATTGAGGTAATTTCATCGCGGCGAATCAAATGGGCTTGTAAAATTGTTGGACTTAGTAACGAGAGAATTCCTAAAAGGTTGATACTTCCTGTACCTAACATCCCAGCTCTATCACACTACTCCTGTAACGATTTTGGCATGTTCTCTCAATCGATTTGCAAACATTTGGCTCTAACCCTCATCTTCCCCATTTTATCTTGATGTTCTTTATGTATCTGCAATTTATCGAATGCTTCATTGAAGAGGCTTGTAAATTGCTGCCATTTGTAAATTAACTTAATGAGATTTGTTCTAGAGAATCTCATTGATGCCCATATCTTCTTGTGCCACTTTAAATAAAAATGATTTTTTTTTTCTCTCCTTGCATCAAAAATATTTTCTTCACTATTTTCTTGTTATTCTCTATTCTCACAATCTTCTTTCAACATTTTTGAAACATTTTCCTTGAAATCATCAGGAAGTTTCAATATACCAGATACCACTTCTCTGAATTCAACGATGCAGAAACATTCAACTCTTCCTACCTTATGAAACTTTCTTCCAACATCAATTCCCCACTCTCCTATCCCCCTTCTTTTGAAATTTCGTCTCTTTCATAAACTGTTAAGATTACTTGATAGAGCTCTATATTAAAAAAGAAAGTTTAACTTAGAAAAAAAAGCTTAAATTGTTTATAGTTATATTTTCTTATTAATTTTTGTTTATAATTGCAGCTGCTGAACATTCATATAATTTGTACTTTATAAATTATTTTATGAAACAAGAACCCCATACTTAAGATTTTTTTTTTCTATTTCTTTATCTGTTTATAAAGATCTTAATCCTTTGACTGCAGACAGGATACATGCCTTCCTGTTAAGAGTTGGGTCGCTGTTATGGACGGGATACATGCCTTCCTTGAAGTGAGTTGGGTCACTGGTGCGGACGGGATATATGCCTTCCCGCTTGGGCGGTCGCCTCTTAAACTGATAAGGACAAGTCCCGCCTTCAACATTTGACTTGTGGCTTGGTCTGTACATTCATTAGTTCCCTGTAGCTGACTCAGTGTGGTTGTTCTGGTTCTTACCATTTGGAAGCTATCAGTTGCAGATTTATTCTGAACCCAAGGTGTCCTTTCTCTATTATTTGTGTCATATCCATGATGTTATTTATATCCTATTTAAATGTTTTATACATCAAATAAATGTTGATAAGTTAATTTTTTCTTTTTTTTTTTAATTTTGGTTTTGACTGAATGCTGATTTTGGTACCCATGAATCATCGTAATGTACATGTTTATTACATTATTTATTGTAATGTCAACATTACATGGCATTTTAATATTGGCGCGAAAGTGGTAACAGCACTAACTATGGTGAGGAAGTGCGTGCGGATGGTGGGAGAAGCAAGCCTCATGTACCGGCAGAATGTGACCAGCCGCCAAGAGAGAATGTGACGAGCCATCAAGTAGAGAACATGACTAGCCAACAAGTTGAGAAGGTGAAAAAGGAGTACTAGCCGGTTCGAGTGTTGATAGAGGCCACTAGTGGAGATTATTTTGTGTTGGAAGAAAGAGCATAGCAGAAATTAATTAAGTGGTACAGAAAATGGAACATTCGTAAGTAAGAAGAGATTATTTCACTGACAGGCGTAAACATTTGGGTGAGTGCTAACAATGCCATTTATGTTGACAGAGGGATAGAGCCAAAAAGTGTAGATAGGGACAAAATATTTTATAAAACAATTATAAATTTTATATGTATAATTAGTGTATTTAGTAATTAGTAAATTATAGTTATTTAATGTTGAATGAGTGTTCAATTGTCAGAACCCAACCTGAGAATTTATGTTATATGTTAAAATAAATAGTATATTGAAAAAGAAACTCGTTGTTTGATTTTGGAGGGAAAGAGGAACGTTACATTATATTTATATATATAATATATATATATATATATATATATATATATATATATATATATATATATATATATATATAATGTAATAAATAAATGTTAAAATACCCAAAAATTAAAATGTAATAGTAAAATTTAATAAATCTAAACATATACAGAATTAAAATGATACTTTAGTTGTTTTATCATTTTTCCATCCACCTATAAACAATATATATATTTCATATAATATAAAAGTGTTTGAAACTCAAAATAAATGTAAGTGTAATAATAGAATTTATATCTGCGCTATTTTTAATATGGAACTTTTTTACATAAGAAAAGAATTGTAAATAAAAAGAAATATATAATTTGAATCCCGTCGTCGGTGTCATGCTTTTAGAAATAATATAATTTAATTTTTATGATCACTGACAGTTATTTTTATGATAATTTTCAGTTATTTTGCTTTTCATAAATAAGCAAATACCCAAGAAAGCAAAGTGTTGAGGGATTGCTGCTCTAATTTTGCAATGTACCAAAATCAGCATTCAGTCAAAACCAAAATTAGAAAAAGAAAAAAAATTAACTTATCAACATTTATTTGATGTATAAAACATTTAAATAGAATATAAATAACCTCATGTATATGACACAAATAATAGAGAAAGGACACCTTGGATTCAGAATAAATCTGCAACTGATATCTTCCAAATGGTCAGAATCCGGAACAACCGCATTGAGTCAGCTACAGGGGACTAATGAATGTACTGACCAAGCCACAAGTCAAATGGTGAAGGCGGGACTTGCCCTTACCTGTTTAAGTGGCGACCGCTCAAGTGGGAAGGCATATATTCCGTCCACACCAGTGACCCAACTCCTAACGGGAAGGCATGTATCCTGTCTTCAGTCAAAGGATTATGTAAATGCTTGGAGTTTCAAATATTAATATATTTTTGTTATTTCAAACTTTGTTGAAACTGAGGCCGTCTGCTTGTTTTAGTTGTAATCAGTACTATTATTTACTTATATATTTTGTATGTTTATAGAAATTTAATTTTCAGTTATAGGTTAGTAAAACATTCTTGGCCAACTGTAGCATACAGTAATATTAAAATATTGACTACTAATGTTACCAATGCAGAGATTCCTGCTGAATTGAAAGCATCTGAAGATGAGAAGATCATTAGATTTCACCTAAGTTCTGACTTATTTGTGAGAATTGTTTTATTATCTTAATAACATTTAAACATATAATATAATGTTTTGTTTCATTATCCAATGGGATTCTGTTTTTATCATAAATGTCCCTACAAATCATCTTCAATTGTGTACTACCAAGTACTATAAAAATGATCCATTTTTAAAAATTTAATTTCAACAAGAGACCATCTTAGAACCCTCATACTAAACTGAAAAGACAAGAAACTGCTCATTTATTTTGACTACTCAAATGACTTACTTGGCAAATGCTCTTATCTCCCAATATCCTACTGAAAGGTCAACTATGACAGAAGTACGAGAAGGAAATGGTTGAAAAAATTAAGAAACTTTGGGATAGAAAGAAAACCAAGTAATAATGATAACCTTGTGGCCCTTAGCCGGTCTTTACATGAAAAAAAAACTAATCTGTATGATTATTATCGAAAAAAAATCTCAATGCTGCTTATGTACTATTGTCTTAATTTTACATTTTTAAATTATTTAACAATAAATGCCTTATCACTCAAATCCTTTAGCAATTAATGTCTCTTTTATTTTAATCCACAAAACTACTCTGATACTTCTCAATAGGAAATGAACGAGAAGGCATCTCATTGTATATATGCAGACAGTGATGTCTGTGCCTCCATTGCTCTACCCGCATAAATGCATTTTGTCCTATGAGAATGAATAAATCCCATGAAAGCCATAGGATGGGATGACACCTACAACCTCTACTATTTGTTACTAGAACTTAATTCCTCTGAAATCACTCACTAGGTACTATTTAATTCAACATTTTTTGTATTTATTCTCATATTTCTCCAACCAGAGATCTGGTGATTCAGTTAATTCAGGCTATCTATCTAGGCTATACCATTATTTTACTTGTCAATATCATTCCCAAAGTTTCACTACCTTATACTAGCCTGTTTGTGAACTTAATTTTCATTTACATACTTTGTAAAAACATCAAAATACATTATACATTTTAATTTTTTTTAAATCTATCTGTGGTTTGTCTTACTTACTTTACTTTATTTCACTCCTCGGCGCTATAGTCTGCGTGGGACCTTGGTCTTCTCAACAATACGTCGCCACTCGTCTCGGTCCATTTTGACAGCCTGACACCAAGCTGTCTCAAATCTGCCTCAACATCCTCCAGCCAACGGAGTAGTGTCCTTCCTCTCCATCTTGCTCCTCCAGGTCCCCCATATAATATTTTCCTCGGTACTCGGTCCGCTGCCATCCTTTCCACATGTCCCAACCATCTTCTTCGTTCTCAATAAGACGAAAACAAATCTTGTACATATCTTGAATATTCAGTCAGCAAATTATTTGCATTCTTCAAACAGAAATGTTACCTCCCTCCCCCTCCCCTCTGACTATGTTTACCTACCTTTTGCTATCTGAAAAAGGACAACTGGGAAATCCCCACCCGGTCCTTTCTCTTACATACCAAATGTGAGAGAAAGGACCGGTTCATGTCAGTACTTGAAAGCCTTCAGTGATCGAACCACGGTTAGTAAGAGAAAATATTACAATTTTTTAAAAATAAATTGTATACATTATTTTTAGTTTGAATAACTTTTTAGATATTTCATTTTTAATTTTGTGTATTGTAATAATAGTTAATATTCATGTGCAATCAATCACTATAGTTTATTATTTACCATTATCGGTCGTATAATATTATATCTCTCATTGTATTTAAAAATTTCCAGCTCTGATGATGACCCACATGTTTGGGTTGAAACGTCGGCACAAATAAAAAATTTTTATACTGTCTGCGTTCTGAATATTTATCACCCATTGACATAAATAGTAGGAATAAAAACATTCTTATAGGATGAATTGTGAGATTTTGAATTAAGGGTTGTGTTCATGCACAAGGACTCTTAATAATTGACCAAATCATTTTATTAAATAAATATACCGAACTTACTGTTGTGATGTGCATAGTTTCTTCTGTAAATATGAGAATTAGAATATTATAATTGGAACATTAATTTGGAAACCTGATGCCAAAAGGACCATTCCTATAATTGAGATCTGTGTATTAAATCACTGTGTAATATCACTTTAGATGATAACTTTTAAATATTTATTTTTCAAAAAGAATTTAGTACACTTTTTTTTTTTTTTTAATAAAAAGTGTGTTTTAGTAATTTATTTATCACAATAAATCCTGGTCCCTGAAAATGAATAAATAAAAGGTTTTTAATAATTAATTTTGATTATTTTGTATGAAAACAATGGGACATTGATGGGGCAGAATTTAACTTCATTTATTTTTACAAAACTGAAGGTAAATCTCAACTTATTCTATAACAAACCTGAATTTAATTAATTAATTGATATGGATTTGAAGTTTACTAAAGAAAATTTTTCTAATAGTGTGGTATCTGTAGTCCTTTAGGAGGCTGATAAAAGAAATCACGAATACAAAACTTTAATTTTCTGTGAGAAATCGGACCATATTCTATACAATTTTTTTGTTTTAACTTTTGAAGTCTGTTATAACTGTTTTAAATATTTCTCATTCCTAAAGAGAAACTTTTTATATGTATATATATATTTATTTTCAGAACTCGGTAAATCTTCACAATCTGCAGATAGAATGTGTAACCATAGTTAGTAAAAGCTGGAAAATACTTGCCTTTTTTGGTGCTGGTGGTAAGTTTTTAGATTTCTTTACTTTTATTTGTTTTTGGTAAAGCTTTATTTAAATTTATAAAATCTATTATTGATATCCAATGTGCTATTTGTGATTAATAGATAAAAATTATAGTTTTTTTCTGCATCTTGAATTCATAGAGTGTGACAAAGATGTTGAGGTTGGAATTCATATAAAATCACAAGCAGTCATTTACTGTATAAAAATAATGATAATATAGCCAGCAGTTTAAAAAAATAATTAGAGTTTAATCTTATAAATCATTTTGCATACATAAGATCATTTTATAATTATATTATGCAATTATGTGAAGTAAACTTCCAATTATAATTTTATTAGTAATGATTATTGCAACTTATTCAATGTTTCAGATTGTTTTTCCAATCTTCGGGATAATTTTAACATAATGGCAATAATAAAGAAATGAACTGAAAAAATATAGTTTATATGATCAGATAAGAAGTGAAGATTGGCTTAATTAATTTTTTTAAGTAATTGATGTCCAGAATATTTTACGAAATTGTCCTGAAAATGGGAAAACACCTCAAAAAATTGATAATGCTGTTATATTTTAGTTCCACCACGATTAGTTGGCAGTCCGAGGGTGAACTCATACAGCACAGAGTTGAAACTCACATTTTGTTTTTTCTCTTACTCTCCAATACTTCTTACAAAATGTATGCATAAATTTAAATATTTTAATATCCTCTTTCATATGAATTTGTTAGCAACATCGGACAGTTAGGAAAAAAATTGAATGGGAATTTCAACTTTGTGCCGCATAAGTTTATCCTCAGGCTTGACAACTAATTGGGGTTGAACTGTAATAATTAAATGATAAATAATACAAATGTTTAGCACATATAATCACCTAATATAAATTGAGAATTAAAAAAATTAAAAGCTTTTTTAAATATACCGTTTAAAAATTTAAATAGTTAATATTTTAAAGTAACAATCTATCATCCATATTATTTAAAAAAATGCCATTTTAGGCAGTAACATATCTTTTATCCAAGTAAATCTCTTCAAATCCTATAAAGATGTAGTCCTAGGTATAATAGCTCATATTTTACTGTTATTTTGTTTTTTTGATGGAACTGTTAAATTGTGTATTATTTATATGTTAAATAATTTAGAAATAGTTAGAACTTTCCCACCCACTTTCAATATATCTGAAATTCTAATTTTCAAGAGACATACATTTGCATCTCAATTTTTTAGGTTTTTCTACATTTTTAATACTTACGGCTAAAAGAGAAATTTTGTGTATAAACAATTTAAGATTACATAATAATTGTTCTAAAAAATTATTTACTCATATTCTGAACCAACTTTGTCATTAAAATAAATCTTAATTAAAACAATTTGATAACACTAATTTTTTGTTAGCATTATAGTAATATTTAAAACTATATCATATCTCACTAGCAGTATTTAATAATAATTAGGCTTTTGAAATATGTTTGAACTTGCATAAATTAATCTAAGTGGATGGGTTGGCCACATGGGAGTTGTAGCTGATATTTGAGGGGCAAAGAATATAACTCCTATAACACAACTTTCTATGTAATGCAGTTTCCTACAAAGTGGAATGCACATTTTACTGGAGTCTACTATGTCTCTAATCCTGGTTTACACTTTTCTGCTTCCACTATCATCTACAGTGTATTCACAAAACTTGCTCAACATTCAGATTGTTCTCAGTTTGTTTGGCTTTTTAGAAACAGTTTTAGATAATGTATAATGCTCTGCCATAATTACTGTTACAAAAGTTGAACTTTGTTTATATCCTTGGGTATTATTTAGATAATCCTTACCTCTATCAGGTTATTTTCTTTACATGTCAGGATAATAATCCCAACTAGTTTGTATTTTTCTTTCGTTCAGTTAATATGGAGTGGAGTGATAAAGAAAACCGAAAAGCTGTGATCACCTTACACAAAGTTGGAAAATGTAGGTCAGAGATTTTCAACACTTTGAAACCTTTGGGTATCAGCCGTATGTTTGTTTACCACACTATAAATAGATATAATGAGACTCTATCTGTATGTGACAGGCCTCGACCAGGCCGTTCCGGCACCGTGAGAACGGCAAATGCAGTGAGTGCAGTGGCTGCTCGAATCAGAAGAAATCCCATTCAAAAACAACAAATCATGCCTCGGGAAATGGGAATCTCTGTCAATCAATGTCTCGCATGATAAAAGGTGACGTTAAGATGGGTACATTTCGAAGAATGAAAGGACAAAGGCTAACCACTTCCCTAAAAAAATTTAAAGTGGATAAATGTCAAGTGCTCCTAGGCTGTTACACCAATGGTCTTCATCGAAACATTTTGTTTAACGATGAGAAAATTTTTACAATTGAAGAATAATTAAATTTCCAAAATAATCGTGTGTACGCACACAGCTCTAAAGAAGTCCAGAAAGTCATTGGAAGAGTGGAAAGAAGTCATCACCCTCAGTGATAGTTTGGTGAGGAATTTCCTTTGATGGCACCACAAAGCTCCATTTTTGTGAAAAAGGAGTTAAAATAGCCGCTAAAAACTATCAGGATGATATTTTGGAATCTGTTGTAAAGCCTCTTAATGATACTCAATCTGCTGGAAGTTATTGGGTTTTCTAGCAGGATTCCGCTCCAGCTTACAAGGCCATGTCAACTCAGCAGTGGCGCAAAAGAACATTCCAGGGTTCATCTCTGCCTCGGATTGGCCCTCAGGAAGCCCTGATCTCAACCCATTAGATTATTGGCTTTGGTCCGAACTGGAGAGTATGGCATGCCACAGAGCACACCCTAACTTGGAAAGCCTCAAACAATCTCTGTTCCGAGCTGTTGTGCGCTTTCCTCAAGTAGTGTTGCGGGCTGCTATTGATGACTGGCCACGGAGATTAAATGCCTTTGTCAAGGCAAAAGGGGGACTTTTGAGTAATTTATTTTTTGTTTTACTCTCTATGGATATGCATTTTATTTTGTAATAGTTTTTGAAAAAGTTAATTTTTCTGTTGAAATCTGTATATATTTCCTTGTAACGATATTTATGACAGTATGTATTTATGATTTATTTATTCATACTTTTAATTCAGTTAAATTTCATGTTAATTTTTTTTTTTACTTAATTTTAGTCATGATATTTAGAAATATATTGTAAATAAAAATACATCTAGCAAATGTGAACAATTGAGTATCATAACATGATAACACTTGTTGAGGAACTACCCACTGATAGCACTCTAATAATATGTCTACATTAGGAGATCACAGGGCTATCTTCTTTCCAGATGCCTCAGAGGGTTATCAGAAATCGAAGAGGAAGCAAGGTTGGAAACGAGAGGGTTGGGATGGTTCTGGAGTTTTTTATGGAAAAATAGGTTGGATTGGGCCAAATCTAAAACATAAGGAACATTAAGGTCGTTATGGATGATTTTATTTGTAACAAAGTAAGGAGCATTGAGGATTTTATGAAGAATTTCGGATTGTAAGGATAGGATACGAGAGAAATTCGATGGTTTAGTGGAGCTCCATAGCTTGAAAATTAAATTTAAATAATTATTTTAAGTATGCCACAATTGATGTATGTATTAACACATTTTATTTAAATTTTTTTGTCCCAGATATGAAAATTGTTAAAGGAAAAGATCTTCATGCACTGGTTAAAATCATTCCATCTGATACTGATGATAAGAAATACAGGTGTTTAAAGTTTACTAAGCAATGTTGTTATATTCCACCATGGGGCGAAGTATTCGTTCATGATACATATTCTAAAAAATCAGAAGTATTCATTCAGTTTTCTTTCAGTTGGTCTGTAAGTACAATAAGATGTTATTAATTTGTTATTATTATTACATCACAATAACATTTGTTTCATGCTGTTTTATCACTTGGTTCTCAGAGGTATTAGGATTTATAACAATCAGCCAGTTTCTTAAGTTAAAGGTGTGGTATTACTGTCTATGAAGTATGAGATCACTAATAACTAATAAAAGATAAAGAACATGAAACAAATACCAAAATAATGAATAAAACAGTACCGAATAACTAATGATTCCTATAACATATATTTCCAGCTTAGTTAAATTTAAAAAATTGGTAAGAAGCAAAAGCTGTTTATTTTCATTACGAATTTCAACTGGCTTGTTTTTCAGAAAAAAAAAAATGAGTTATATTAAAATGTCTATGAGCAGTTTTCGGTTTGTGGCCGAGTGGGCTAATGTGAGGGAGTGCCAGAAGTAGGGATAACCCGGGAAACTAATTGGAATATCCAGAAACTTTCTCGTTTGACAAACACTACCTTTGCCGGATTAAATAAATAATATAATTTTAAAATTTAAGTACTTTTATTAAAATTTTGCAAAAATATTTTAGGTTGGCATGGTATCTATGGAAGAAGGGATGAGAAAAGCTTATGGCCAAGATTATGTTTGGGTTAGTTGTGAAGATAGATTTGAAGTACCTGCCTCAGACCTCAAGCATCCTACTTCATATTCTATTTCACCCAAAAAAAAGTTGACTCCTGCTTCCTCAAAAGATATAGTATTAAGAGTAACAATTTATGAAACTCCACATTTATGTCGTGATTTGACTTTATCTGGGTATGTAAACATTTAAAAAAAGTTAACTAATTTTATTACTTTTCCTGTGACCATGAGAAACTAAATAATATGCAAGTTTTGAGATTTTTTAAAATATTTTTTTGTTTCTATTGTTTTTAAAAAACAGAATAGATAAAGCATATGATATATCGGTTATTTGGCAATATTAAATAAATAATACCATGTTTATTATTTTCTCTGAATGATATGTTAGAACATTTTATACTCATATTTTTAAATTTTAATTTAGTTTTTTTTTTTTTTTTAGGTCTCAGACAGTGCCTATTACAGTGGAAATTTCAAATGATAAGAAACAAATAGTGAGAGTAAATTTATCATTCCTTCCTTTACTTCATCCGTAAGTATAATAATGTTTATTTTCTTCTGAAATGTTGGCCCAATATTTGTGTAATAAACAGTTATTATGATTTTTATTTATATTATTTTCAATAGGTTCCTGAGAAAATATTAATTATTCCTTTTCCATATTCACTGACACACTTGAAACAGAAGATAGCTTAACTTATACTTTACCTTCTACCATTTTAGTTCATCTGAGTTATGTAAAAAGAAATGCAAATAGCAAACTTTTCAATCAACTTCTTGTTTTATTTACCCATGTCCTTAAATTAATTCACAGAATTGGAAAATAGGTGATAAAAAACAAAATCCTACACATTATAAATATTTTAATCAGGAAGCAACCACAGATCTCTTTACTTGTCTTATTGCTTATTGTTAAATTAAAGTATAATCAATTAATATTATTGTGACAATAAATATTTTACTTCTCCAATTATGTCTCACACTAATTTTTGTTCGACCAATCCCAAAATTTAAGCAAAATTAGTGGATTTGTTCCATATTTTAAATAAATATTTAAATAATTAAATTTAATAGAATTATAATAATAATTTAAGCATCAAAACAAGACAGAAGCAGTACAAAATTAAATATTTAAGAAAATATTATTTACTATTTTATTGGAAATAATGATACAATTTCAATATTTGTATAGTAGATGATTACATGAACAATTTATGGAACTCAATTATGATCGATTGTACCGAAAATTAGATAATATAAAAAATAAATTTGATTGTAAAAAGATCGAGATGCAACAGTCCATCTAAAAGAATTTGAGAAACAATTCCTTGGTTAGGTGAGGGGTGGTACACATATTGGTATCAAAGAGGCCTAATTGACCCTTGAGACCCCTTCCTACCACCACAACAAACAGTCCCTGTTTGTTGTTCTTATTTTAAAATCCTAAACATTTGTTTGACATTTTAGTGCAAATAAACTGTAAATTCTTTTATGTGTTATGTCTAATCAAAGATTGATAAGTATGCTGTGTGATGTAAGCAATCCAATGCATTTGGGATGTTTCTGCTTCTGGCACTACAACTCAGAGGTGAGTCAAGGCCTCCCATTACATCAACCGCCAGTCCTCTCTGTTCGCTGCCACTGCCTTCCAATTCTTTACTCCCAAGATGGACCGTGCATCATCTGCCACCCCATTGACCCACTAGTCTTGGCCTGCCAATTCTCTTGACGTACACTCTTTCTTCCAGAAGTCTCTTTGGGATCTTATTGTTCTTCATTCGTAAAATTCAGCAACATGGCCTGCCCAACGAAGCCTAACAAGCCTTATGAATCTGAAATTCATATTATTATACATTGTTTTTATTTCAGTGTTTTTTTTTGTCGCCAAACATTATTGCTGAACACTGGCTCAAAGCTTCTCCTAAGGATCCTTAGGAAGCATTAATTCTTGAGATCATCCAACATTTGGAGGCATTAGTCAGAACATGGCTTATGAGGGTCTTATAAAGCTGCACTTTGGTGTTCTCTGTGACACATCTACTTTTTAAATGTTTTAGGAGCCCGGAATAGCATCTGTTTACAGCCATTAATCTTCTATCAATTTCCGGCTGCAAATAATTGTTGGAGTTCATTTGAGGGCTTAAATAAATGAATTTCTTCTCACACTTAAATGTGAAGTCTCCTATGTTTATATGGGCATCTTGCTGATCTAATGCTCCTGGATCTGATCTCATATATTTAGTTTTTGACTCATTTATAGTTAGCACCACTCTTTGCACAGCTTCCTGTTAAGCGAGAAATGCCTCCTTCATAGATGCCAAGCTTCTACCCATTATGTCTTAGTCATCCGTAAAGATAAGGATTTAAGCTGATTTGTTTAATAAGGTGCCTCCAATCTGTTCACCTGAATATCTAACAGTACATTATAGTGCCATATTAAAAAATAAACAGGCAAGGCTGTCACCTTGCCTAAGGTTTTGTACCTTTTAAAATCCTTAGAAAGGTCTGCACCTAGCTGGACTGCACACACCACCCTCTTCGAAGTCTTCTTTATCAAACAAACTAACTTGGAGGGGAAATTGGGAAACATTCCTATTAAATAAAACATTTATCCCTCTAAATTGATATTAATATTTATTGAAAGGAATAGTATAATCTTTTTAGATTCACACAAAAATAAATCTGAAGGTTTGTCCGTCTCTCTTGTTGATTTTAATTTTTAAAATATTATCATCGGATATCGTTTATAATGACTTTGAAGATGCCAGGTAAATTTTTTCATTATAAACGTATAATTGTGATAACTAACACGGTCACTGTATCCATCTATTTTTGGCTATCAATATTGGTAAGAGGAAAATGGAATTGGTCCTAAAAATGCGATGTTTACATAAAGAATGAATGAAATAATGGTCTTCCTAGAAATGCGAGATATAGCAATGAATTTTTTTTTAATTCTTAGAGGTGACTGTCTTTATATCCAATCATTTTTTTTATAAATCCTAAGAAATCAAGTCGTTAAATCCCATCAGTTGCTATATCCATTAAAAATTATGTTACAAAAGTTTTATGAACATCAGACTTGACATTTTCATCCTTAAAGCTGATTTGTCATTACAACCAATGTTGTGATAAACAATATCCACTGTATATATATTTTTTCTGTTAGTACATTGATAAAATGTATTCTTGATTAAAACATTATCTACCTTTATACATTTTCTTACAGGGAAAGATTTTTATATTAATTATTAAATATATTTATTAATCAATATTATATTTATAATCACTGATTTTCTTTAATATTTGTGAGTAAGGAAATAATTTTCACTATAAAAAGATTTAGTTACCAAATAAGTGAAAAATATTACATAATTTCAGGTTAATTTTTTTATTTCTGAAGATTTAAGATTGCTAAAATATCTTTAATCCCTTAACCTAAACACTTATAATACCCTAAAGATATCTTTCGACTATTACTAATAAAAAAACTTTTGCCTTTGTAGTTCTTCCAGAGAATTGACTGATGATAGTACATCTGACAGTTTCACATGGCTGGGAAGAATTGAATATAAAGAATTAATAGTTGGTAAAGAAAAAGTTATTGTCAATGTAGCTGCTAGAATTTCTGGTCCAGGAGCCTATGATGTTTCAAAACGAGTAAATATTGAAGCATTCGATAATATGCAACATCCTATTGCTGCTCATATAGGAGATTGTGTGGTTGTTATAAATTAGGAATATTTTGTTTCTACCACAAGCTTAGTTGAAAAGACAAACGATAAAGGCAAGGCAATAGTCATATTATTTATTTTCATTTTTTAACATTTGTTTTAGTAAATATGAATATTTCTCCTGTTACATGTTTCCCCCTTTATCTGTTTCAAATGCCTTGCATCAAACTAAATTTATTAGTGAAACTCCAAACAACTGTGATGAGATAGATATATATTTATTTATGTAAAATATTCATTTATAAACAAATTATGTGTTAAATTAAATGATAATTCAAATATTACTAAATTATTAATTTATAAAAATTCAAAAATATATTTATTTATTGCTCATATATTTTTGTTGTACATTTATTTTTACTTGTATTTTAAAAATCACTTATAATGTATTTCAACAGTAAAATTTAATAGTTAGTTCTATGTGTAATTTGTCTGATGTCTGATATAAATGGCATATGGTGCATAGAATTAAAAATTTATCAATTATATATTGAATTTAGGAGTTTTTGTTGAACATAATTACTAAACAAAAAATATATGTATAAAATGTATACTTGTGCGTCTTGTATATTTGTATTTACTGTATTTAGACATTTATCATACAACAAGAATAATTGTTTATACAACCGGACCATTGTTATAATTCTTTTTTTTAATATATCATTTTGTTAAAAGTTTCATAACTATGTTATTACCAACACAATTTATTTTATATCATTCATTATAACATTTTTTGCAAGATTTGAGCTATATTAAGAATATTTGGTAAATTTATATGAATATTACTTAGACAGAAGCTAGATAACAATTTCCTGAATGGGGTATCTCAAATACTTCTTTCCCGCCGTCCAGTCACTCCTTGCAGCAAAATAAGTCCTTTTACTGCACCCCACAAAAGTCACAGCAGGCAGATAAGCATAACCACCAAATATTCAAAGAAATATTTTAAGCAGGACAAGATTTTTATAATTTTGAAAATCTGCAATCGAGTTATTTTAGACTACCAAGTTTTTCTAATAGCATTTAAAACTATTGATATTTCTTAACATATGTATAACAAATAGTTTCAGGATATATTTAACAACAGCATTTATAACAAAATTATTTATTAATTAAATACAAAACAAATCAGTTAGGTAATTTTGGTAATTGTAATACATTTTATATTCATCTTAATGAATCGTATGCAATAAGCTACTTGAGAGGCGCCACATCTGGAAAACATGGCAGAGAGCTAATGATACAAGAAAATATTGTTTTCTTCTATAATCAAGGCCACTTTGATGAATTCCAAAATCAGCCATTAATCTCCATTTTAAGGTTTTTACCTGAAATAAATCAACAAAAAATAATAAAATAATTTTTTCTTTCTCCTGTAACTTCATTTCCATACTTTTAAACCTCTTGTGTTATCTTAAACATTTAATTCAACATTGAAACAACAGAAAACTATATACTTAGTCTTGCCATGACAGAAAAAATCAAACATACTCACTTAGAGCATTGAAATTTATACATATAACATGTCTTACATAACAGTAAATAAATTATTCAAAATTGCCACCTCTGGCCGATACAGAGGCTTTTAGTCTGCAAAGCGAGTCTTATGTTGCAGTATATAGTAATTTTTGTGAAAAACGTTACTGCTTTCATCAAAGCATATAAACTTAATAAACAAAATTTGATTCAGAAATTTCATTGTAATAGTCAATTTTTACTTCAACCTCCTCTTTTTTTTTTTTTTTTTTTTAAAGAAAACAACTATTTTTTAATTGAAACTCGGTTATCAAGACATCAACTAAAGATGTACTAATCCACTGTGAGAACTCTTGTTATTTATTGGGTCCTTGTGTAACAAAGAGGCCTTTATCTGCAGGATCCACATACCATGACTCATCAGCTAAACAGCTGGCGCACTCAAAGAGCAACAGCACCTGTGACACCTGCTTGTTCTGTAGAATTTCAACCTCAGCTGGACATAAAATCTCAGGGAATGACTAAGGAAACCCCTTTCTTCACCCTTAAACAAGGTGCTTCAAAATGAAAACTAAACAATGGAATCAGCACATATATCTAAAGACCCTTGACCTCTAATTCTCGTTAATAATATTAAATAAATTCCCTTATTTTGCATGTAATTAAACTACATCACTACCTCTAGTACTTACTATAACTTAAGCTGTAGCAAAAATATTTCAAGAAATAGGTGATTTATATAGGAAAATAATTATCTATCTGATATTAAGGAGGATTTTCACACATGCTAACAGAGGTTTAAGTGATCTCTAAGTGTAGTCATCGGGAATAAATGTTAATCAAAATAAGGTTGTTTATCATACATTCAATTTTAAGAGTGCCACTTTTTTTTTTAGTCTGGCAAGAATGCTACAAACTTTTTTAGCCTAATTGACTAAATTTGGTGCCGTGCCAAAGAAAATTTGAGAAATTCCGGTATATAATATATCACATTGATAAGGAACCATTTTTATCGTTGTATTAGGTATACATATAAATTTTAGTTTTCATATAGTTGTAATTTATCTAAATATGAGGTGTGTAAATTAAGTAATGAGACTGATTTTTTCTAATATTTTCTTCATCGAGCCTCTGCCTACCAATATTGCAGTGTTATGGTTCCCTTGTTGAGCCTGGATCCTTAATCTCTCTCTAACTTTTTTTTTTTTTTTATTGAAAAAAATTACAAACAGTGTGATTGGTTACTAATAACTTAGCTTCAGTTGAATTATAGATATATAGATTTGGAATTAGGAATTAAGGATCGTAAGGTTATGATGGTGGATAAAGTAAAAATAAATATGAATTTGAGCTACAATAAAATTATGTGTAAAAACAACACAGCAAATAACAATAAGAAATTAATTTAGTCTTAAGGACAAAAACATAATTATTTTATACAACAGAAATTTAAACAAAGATGTATAGAAAAAAATATATCTTACTGTGAAGTAGCCCATTGATAAACAACTATACACAAGGCCTATCAAATACGCTAAGCTGTATGAAGACACTCCTGAAAGTATGATAATATTTATCCTGAAAAATAAAAACAAAATTATGATAAGCGACTCTAATTGTTTTTTATTATCAACTCTACAGAATACATTTATGTTTAGGCATATATATTCCTTACTAGAAGAAATTATGAAAACATAGTACATCAAAAATGTTAAGAAGTAAAATACCAGACTGAAAATTAATTCAACAAAAAAAATTAATAATAAAATAACAACATTAATGTTTTGACAATATTCTTTTTAAATAAAAAAAAAACAAACATGGGGAAGAAATCTGGTAATAAAATAAATATAACATTTGGAGGTTGGCAATAGACAGAGTTGGGCAAAAATTAGTAAGTAATCAAAATTAATTAGACAACTAATTTAGTTATAGCTACCTCAAACAGGCAATTAAGTATTTAGTTGCGATCAGTCAATAGCATCATTTTTAATGAAATTATGATCGGCAGCAAAATATTGCAAATTTGGAAATAATCTGGAAGAAAGATTACGTGATCAATTTTTGTTAGGATTGAAAAATGCAGGAGGAGCTTTTTTGCTGTCATCCAGAGGAAAATGCAAACCTAAAAGAAATTGAAAAATCCGCTCTTATAATTGAGTTAGCCCAAAAACAAAGAAAAGACAAAGAGGGTACACCAGAGGAAACCCATATCTGTAGGATAGTTAAGACTGAGCAGAGAAATAAAATAATTAGAGTTGTAGATCCAGCTACAGAATTTATTCGTTGCGGATGCCAGAAACATAAACAGGGGTGTAAATGTCCAGCTAGCAAACACACGTGTAGGCTTTTGAATTTGTTGGGGGAATGCTCGGTGTTAATTAAAGTAGGAAAGCAATGTTTTAAACATAAATTAGTTGTGATTGAACGAAGCCACTCCTTTGTTTGGCCGAGATTGGATTAAAGGTTTTAAATTATTCTCTATGTATAAACATTTCAAGTTAACTAATGCTAACAACTCAGAAATTTAAAAACGACGAAAACCTCCAACAGGCTAAAAATAAGGTGTTTGAGCAACACTCTGAACTTTTCCAAAGCGGCATTGGAACAGTGAAGGGATTTCAAGCCAAAATTCAGCTATGCGATGGAATAACACCAAAACTCTTTAAAGCTTGAAGTGTTCCGTTTGCTTTAAAAAAAAACAGCCGATCACAAAATAAATCAGCTTATTCACGAAGGAGTAATAGAAAATGTGGACCCATTAAAGGCAATAGTTGAATGGGCATCGCCAGTAGTTTTTGTGCCAAAAGCGGATGGGGCAATGAGATTATGTGGTGATTTTAGAGTTATCATTAATCCTCATATAATTGTAAATCCCCACCCCTTCCCAACATTAGAGGAAATAGTGTACAAACTTAGCAGCTTCCAAGAGTTTTCTGTTATTGACTTCAAAGACGCTTATTTACAGATGGAAATAAGCGAAGAGTAAAAAAAAATATCTGGTTATTGCAACACATCAAGGATATTTCACGGACAAAAGTATGACATGCGGTATAAGTGCAGCCCCATCAATATTTCAAGGATATATGGATAAAATTTTGCAAGGCATGGAAGGGGTAGTGTGGTTTTTAGACAACATAGCCACAGGATGAACATCTTGAGAAGACAATTTACATCGCATTAATTTGGTTTTAGAAAAATTGAAATCGATGGAGTTGAAAACTCAGCCAAAGAAAGTAAGGCTGTTCGAAAAAGAAATTAAATACCTTGGCCACAGAATCAACAGTAACGGGATTCAACCTTCTCATGAAAGGGATTGCGCCTCTAAATGGAATAGCATCTCCAAAGAATGTTAAAGAACAGCGTTCTCTATTAGGCTCTCTGAATTATTATTCAATATTTATTTCGGATTTTCAAGGGAGATGTCCTTCCCTATACAAACTATTACAGAAGGGGTCAAAGTGAAAATGGGCATCTGAGGAAGAATAAATTATTTCGAGCATTAAAGAAAGTATTACTGCTGATAAAACATTGGTACATTATGACGAGACATTACTATTAATACTATCAACTGATGCTTCAAAAAAGGGGGTAGGGGCATTGTTACAACATAGATATCCCGACGGAACACTTTACCCAACAGAGACCAATCTCAGCCGCCTCTAGAACCCTAAGCAAAAGTGAGCAAAACTTTTCCACCACTGATCATGAAGGTTTTTGCCATAATGTTAATAAGTTTTACGATTATTTGATTGGGCGACATTTTACATTACAAACAGATCATAAGGTACGGCTAAGAATATTTGGAAACAAAAATGAATTGCCAAAAATAGTAGCATCCAGATTGATAAGATGGAGTGTTTTACTCAGTAGCTTTAACTACAAAATTGAGTACAAGACAGGCAAAGAAATAGAACCTATGGATACTCTTTCAAGACTTCCATTACTGACTACAGAGGATTCCTTTTTAGAAGTGGGAAGTACTAATTGTATTAGTAAAATTGGAAAAGTCATCAGAGATGAATGCTCGTTGTCTGAGACCACCATAAAGAAGGAAGGAGCTCTGGAAAGACAAGGTGATAAATAAAGTGTTAAAGTATATAGAAAGTGGATGACCAAATAAAAAGAAGTTGACAGACGATGAAACTCCATTTTATGAGAAAAGAGAAGAGCTGGGTATAGAAGAGGATTTACTAATGTTAATGAACAGATTGGTAATTTTCCATGGACACCCTGGCATAGAGGCTACTAAGTCTTTTGCAAAATTTACTGTTAGGTGGCCTAAAATTAATTCTGAAATAGAAAATTTAATTAAAAATTGTGATATTTGTCAGAAAAAACGTCCAAGTGAACCAGAAACATTTTGAACTCTTGGAACATTCCGGAAGGACCTTGGGAAAGACATCATACAGATTTTACAGGACCATTTGAAGGATTATCCTGGTTTGTACTAATTGATGCTAATTCTTGTTGGCTAGAAATTTTTCCAGTGAAATCAGTTACAGCTAGAAAAACTATCTAAATATTAGAATCACTATTTGCAAGATATAGGATTTGCAAATAAATTGTTTTTGCACATGGAAGCCAATTTGCTCCAAAGGAATTCAAAAACTTTTTAAGAGACAATGAAGTGAAACAAATATTTACAACCCCCTATCATAGTCAATCAAATGGGATGGTGGAACGTGCAATTAGAACGTTTAAACAATGATTTCGAAATGATATTACTTATACAGATAAGTAGGAATGATCGCGAGTGACGCTGTTTGCGTACCGAACTACAATACACAACTCAACAGAAAAAATGCCAGCAGAACTGTTCATTAGCAGAAGGTTGCATGCGATATTGGATCATTTAAACCATCCGCGAGAGATAAGATGGAAGAAAGCAGGCTGAAACAAAAAAATGTACCACAATAGAAATGGACAAGAACGCAGTTTTGAAGAAAGTGAGCAAGTTTGGGTAAGTCCTGTAACTTAAGGACACAGAAGGATGGGTGAAAGGTACCACAATTTAAAAAAAGGGCCTCTCTCTTATGACGTAGAAATGAGTGGGAAGCTAACGTGATGCCATGCTGATCACTTAAGGAAGCGATCAGAAAGAAAGGGGGAATAACATGATATAGATTATTATTGAATTATTAATGTAGTTGGAATTAACAGAAAAAAAAAACACGTGATGTTGTACTATTGTTGAAAATATATAGTTTGATTTATTTGGAACTTACCTCAACCTTTCTTTTTGTCTATACACAATCATTACAGCATGACAACTCAAAACTTCAACAATAGACTTTACCAACATAAAAATTCATGTACTAATTATATAGACAAATATATATATATAAATTGTTGACTGGTGAATATTGTTTTTAAGGTTATTATGGTTTTATGAATGGCCTGATGTCTAATAACAAATCCTTTGAATGATTTTTCTGTGTTTTTTTCAGATGAAAATTTAAATTATATGTAAAATCAGACTATCATTGAAGATGTCTGAAGAGGCGAAAATTTGGATAAATTTGAAATAAAGTATTTATCAAGACTAAAAGGCATTTTTCTAGTAATAATTATTATAGTCTCTTCCCCAAGATAATCTTTGTTGAAATTAATAAAAAAAAAAATTGGTAAGCAAAAGAATAATCTCAACTCGAAAGTGTTTTAAAAAAATACGCCTCTGATAACATAACCCTAATCCAAGAAAATCCGAAAAGTTGAAATTAGTCAAAAAAAGATCAATTATTAGAAGAGCTATCTCAAAATCGAAAGTGTTTTTAAAGAGGATGCCACCAATAACATAATAACATACCCCTAAATTGAAGAAATCAGAAAAGTTGAAATTATTCAAACATAAATCGGTTATCAAAAGAGTAGTCTTAAATCTGTAGTATTTTAAAATGTATGCCCCTGATGACATAATAACAGACCCCTATATCGAATAAATCCGAAAATTTAAAATTAATTTTAATTAATAGATTGGTTACTAAATGTTTAGAAAAAAACTATTAGTTGTAAGTTGTAATTCAGCAACTACGAATAAAATAAGTCAGTTGCAATTACCATAACTGTAACTGTTCAAAAATAATTAGTTGCCCATTTCCGATGGCAACTAATTTCATTACAGATGTTAGTTGTTATTTTACCATCACAAATAATAACTTAATTGCCTGTTTGATGTAGCCACAACTAAATTAGTTGTGTCTAATTAATTTTTATTAGTAACTAATTTTTGCCCAACTCTGGCAATAGATAAGTATGATCATGATGACGCATATCAAATGAGATAACACAAATAATTCAGTATTTGAGCAAAAGTAGTAGATACTGATAAATTTTATAATATAAGCATTAATGCACCTGCAAGAGAATGTAAGATCCAACTACTACGAACTGGTAATCAGCAGTTAGGATCTAATAAAGATATCAGTAAGATCAATTTGAAATTTGGAAGGTTGTTCAAGAACTCAGTGATAGTAGTGGAATTAACAACTAAAATAACAGAGTGAAGTTAAGCCTGAGTTATTTGTAATGTTTCAAATTAAAATTTTAACCTCACTAAGATTCATTTACCACTGAAGAAGTTCCCTTAAACAATAGCAGGAAATATTTAAAAGAAATATTGACATCATATGTAAATATTAAGGTATTTAAACAATTGATTTAATAAAATGTTAAATATTATAACTAAAAGGAAAATAAAAAAAAACTTTAAATCTTACTAACCCAATGAATTTATATCCTGAATATGATACAATATCATAAGTAGTAGCATTTATTTCAATGTTGAAAAAATAAATAAGAGCAATCTGAATAAGGACTTCCACAATCGTCCATACTGTTGCTTGACTTGCAATGATCCCCAATTTTTCAGGCTCAAAAAGATCATTGATACCCAATAGTACTCCAGCAAGAAGCACATAGCTGGAAAAAAAATAACCAATAAATAAAAACAGAAAAATTCAATTTGTTTTAACTGTCAAACAATTAAATAACCATACTGAGCACAATCTCAGGAATAGCATTAAACCTTTAACTTGTAATGCCAAATAAAAAAACACTCATAATATAGGAAGAATAGGATCATTTGTTAACAACTAACAAGAGAGGAAAAGAACTTCAAAAATTAATAACAGAAAAAAAAATGATTAAATTTGTGGGAAAAAAAATATTTCCTTTATTGTATTCATCTAAATAAAATTGTTGTTTCAAGGATATGCCCAACACCAGAGCTTATTTCTGAAAAATCATACAATCAACTACTCCACAAATAATATAATACCCATTTAAGATTTTTATGCTTATCAATTCATTAATATATATATATATATATATATATATATATATATAGAATTTCTACAAAATTCAAAAAGAATGTGAATAATAATCTAATCCAATAATTTAAACTATTAGGTTATCCCATCACTAACATTGGTTTTCCTTACTGACTGTTTATATAAATTATTAATTTTAATTATCTTGGGATAAAATTTCAATGCAAATATTTAAATGGACATCTGAGTATTAGCTGTCTTTTATATTTTGATAGGAGAACACTTATCTTCAATTTCTTCCCATTCAGATTTTATAACAACTTGACATATTCAGTTATGGAAATTTAGGTAAGGTAAAAAAAGAGTTAATATTCATAAGTATGTTGGATAAATCTTTTACAAAATCATAGAAAGAAGAGCCAGATGCAATGATTTTGAGACAAAAACTCTAACCATATAAATATTTCCCATTTAAATGATCCGTGGGGTTATAACAAAATATAAATAATATGCTTAAAGATCTTCTACACGTTGATAAACTTTTCATATGGACAATTAATAGGAGTATCACATCCCTGAAAGTAATGTTTAACAGATATATCAAAAATATGGAGTCTATCGATAGCTATGCTAGAGTGTAGATCGGCTCTGTGATTTTATATAATTTGAGTGGTTTAAATACATTATTGGATCATTATATTCGGTATAGTGGTGTATATTAGTGTGTTGTAACTGTATTTCATTAGAAACAAAGAATAGTGTGAATAACAAGTGATATTTTTCAAATTACCAGTACAGCTGGGTGATCCTGGCTTGAAACAGGAATAGTACCAGTGCAAGCAGGCAGGATAAGCCACAGGAAAATTATTTATCTACAACCAACTCTTTGTTGACTCATATATATTTCCCTGATCCTAATTCACCCAAATGAATGGTAATATAAATAATATAATGAATCCAATAAATGAGGACACTATGACACTGCAGACAATAATGGAAATCCGTAGCAACAACGATGAAACTAAAAGTATTAAAGAAACGGTAGGAAAAACTAATACTTTAATGGAAAATATTACATCAGAACTTAAATATGTAAAAAACAAAATTGATGAACTTGAAAAGATTAACTTCCAATTAGAGGAAAGGATAAAGAATATAGAGAAAATAAGAAGAAAAAATAATATAATATTATTTAATTTACCTGAAAAAGAAGATAATAATTTGGAAAATGTAGTGGATGAAGTAAAAACAATATTATATGGTATGGACATAATGCTATCAGATGGATTGATAAACAACTGTTATAGATTAGGAAAAATAGATATAACAAACCCAGGCCTATCTTAATTTCTCTTAACAGTTATATAATGAAGCAAACAATAATAAAAAATAGAGACTTATTTAGAGAAAAAAAGATTCCTATATCACATGATAAATCACCGGAGGAAAGAGAGGAGGGAAAACAAATATATTTATATCTCAACAGATTGCGAACCTTCGACAGTACTGTAACTTATAAAAACAAGTTAATCACAATGAATGGGAACACTTTTCGCATCTCTGAGATCGTAAGTCTACTGGCAACACTCAAAGACAGTAAACCATTACCAGCATCATCATCAGTCCAGGTAACCAAAAGAAAAAACTGAGCGAAAAACTCGACCAATTTCGATTTTCGAGAAAACAAATATTCAGATCAAAACTAGAGCACAGGATAATGATTCATCAGGACGAATAGATTTTAATATTTTATTTTGGAACATTAATGACTATACAAATTTTATACAACACGATAAATACATGGGCCAGTACGATATAATATGTCTCGCTGAAACCCATTTAATTTCTGAAATCAGAGCTAAGCCTAGTTGGATGTCAATGTATGGAATTATTTAGAGCCCACCTGTTAGGAGGTATAAACAAGTTTTTGGCTTGGTTTGTTTTTATGGTCAGGATAAGTGCTCTGTAAGAACATTACGAAATAATAGAGACAATAATTTTTTGTTAGTCTATAAAAATAGCTTAAAATTAATTATAGACTTTGTTTATATTAATTCTGGTTTAGATATTAATTTATTTTTAGAAAAATAGAAATTATTATAGATGAGATCAGAGGAGAACATAAAAACATTCCGATTTATTTGGAAGGGGACTTTAATTCTAGAATAAGTAATTTAAATATATGCTTTCCAGAAATTTTTCATAATACTTGTCTCCTGACAAATCAAAAAATTCAGATAGCTTCAAAAATTTAAGAGGGAAAATATTAACCGAATTTATGGAACTTAATTCCTTTAGAGTGTTAAATGGCTGAATCCCAGTGATGTAACTGGTAATTATATTTACTGTAGGACTAATGGATCGAATGTCGTAGGGTTTTTTGTCTGGTGTGAAATCGGTGGCCTTGAAGTAGTATGCGATTTTAGAGTTAAACAAATATTATCCAGTTCTGATCATTTCCCTTTAGAATTAAAAGTGTACTGTGAGCCTATCGTGAATAAAAAAAAATAGCACCTATACAAAAATCCTCATCATTAAATGGAATAAAAATATTTAAAAGTAGTTTACTGATCTCATTAATCACAGTGGACTTTATAAGCAGTACTGTTGAAGAACTATACGAAAAATTTTTATCCGCTGTTTTCAGAACATCTAAAGAAATTAATATAATGAAAAGTATAACTGAATTAAACAAATGGGGCATTAATAGAAATAAATCTTGGTATGATAGTGAATGCAAGGCACTAAGACTGAGCTGAAGAATTCTTTCTCTAAATCTAAGAAAAGCAATTTTATGGGTGAATTCTTATTTGATTTTCTAAAATTGAAAAAACAATATAAAATTTTTGTGAAAATGAAAAAAAGAAAATATAATTTAACTACAGTTGATATTCTCGGAACAACTAAAGATAGTTCAACTATTTGGGGTATCATAAAACGATTTAGGGGCAGCACCATTTACAGAATGAGCATTTCTATAGAGGAATGGGAGAAGTTTTTTAAAATGATGTATCCACCTAGGTTGACATCCAATAATTTTTTTATCGATAGTCGATATGCATTATTAGATGGAGATATATCTTCTAAGGAAATAGGTAGGGCTCTAAACAAAGTTAAAAATGGCAAATGCCCAGGGTTTGATAGTGTCCTAACTAATTGGTTATTGTATATACAGAATTTATTCAATAAAATTCTGAAGAATGAGGAGGTGTCTAAATCATGGGCTGAAATATTTAGCATAATGATATTTAAGAAAGGAGACTGAGGAAACCCACTTAATTATCGAAATATATCTATGACAAACTGTGCTTCCAAAATTTTTATCCAAATCCTGTCGGAACGAATAACAGCATGGACAGAAGAAACCGGAATTATACCTGAATGCCAATCAAGATTTAGAAATAGGAGAAGCTGCTTAGATAATGTTTTTGTCTTAAATACCGTCATCCAAAACCAATTTTTAAAAGAGAAGTCTAACCTTTTCGTTATTTTCATTGACTCTTGTGATAGGCTTGTAACTCCATAAATCACAACATACTGGGGCACAAACTTTTTCTATAGGTTTGAGTGGAAAAATAATTCGAGTTATGGGAAACATGAATGATAACGCGTACACACAAATAAAGGGAACTGCTGGAGGACTGTCGCAAAAGTTTAAAATTACCGAAGGTGTGCTACAAGGATAGACACTGAGTCCTATGCTGTTTAATCTTTTCTTATCTGATATTAAGGAATACTTCCACAAGTGTAACCTGTCTGGTATACCTATTAATGGATGTGTTGACAATACTGTTGCTCTTGTTTGCAGATGACATGGCTATTTTTACTGAATCCTATACCGACCTTGTAAAAAAAATTAATGCTCTAAATGTATACTGCAGAGACAATAAACTAATTATAAACATTGATAAAACAAAATTTTGAACTTCGCTAGGGGGCTCCCAAAGAAATATAACAGTATATATTTGGATGGAGAACTGGTTGATACAGTCAGTACATACAATTATTTAGGTATTCACTTTTGTAGGTCTGGTTTGTTTTCGCAAGCAGTTAAGATGGCAATCTCAAAGTCAAACTCGACAATAGGTAGTGTAATAAACATTTGTTCTAAAGCAAAAACGAACTCCTGGAAGGTGAGAGATAAGTTGAAAAAAGCTATCATCAATACATCTCTGCTATATTGTGCCCATGTATGGAGTCTCCGGTACACAGAGCTCTTAGAAAAGGTCAACAAAAATTTCTATAAAAAGACATATTCGCTATGTAAAACAACCCCAGACTTTTTTTAGTGTGTTTAGAGACAGGGCCTATTCATATTGGTTTCAATATTATGAAGTGTTCATTGAATTGGTTGGTGAAACTTGTGGAAATGGAGGAATTTAGATAACCAAAAATATGTTTCGAAAAGCTAAGAAATAAATGTCACTCAACTAATCCTGCTCTATCGAAATATAATTGGTGTTCTCAGCTAAAATAATTGTTAGATACTATTGGGGAAGGAAATCTAGTATATGAAACCAACTCAGCCATAATCAGAACAAATATTAACAGGATATTAAATAAATACAATCATTTGCTGGATAGAGACAGGATAACATTGCATAGCTCATCTTGTAGTGAACATTTAAACCTTTCTCATAATAATGTGACCAGATCCCCCAGTATTTGTTGATACCGACTAATTTCAAATATACAAAACTATTAATGCAGATCTGTCTCTCGGGAAAATATATGATCAAGATTTCTGTTAATAATAAAATTGTGAAAATCACTCCAAAACTTGAGTGCAAAATGTGCAACACTAAAGAAAAGGAAACACTTCATCATTTAAATGCCCAATTTATAGTAGTTTAAGGTTAAGAATTTATCAGGGTATGGAAAATCTTGATGGGATAGAAATATTTAAACCAACCAGTGCAGAAGATATGAGAAAATTATATTTTTTTATCTCAATTATATCAAATCATAGAGAATTGGTTCTGTAATCTTGAATATTTTCCTCCATATAAAATGGCAAAAATTCCATATTGTACATCGGCATGTAATCTGGCCGGGTATTTTTCTTGTCTGTTCTCTTTGGTATAGGGGTAATCTTTTAATTTAATTTTAAAGCATAGTTTAATATTAATATTTTTTTAAAAAATGTGTATTTATTGTTTTATGTGTATTTATTTATGTATATTGTTGACAATTTTAGATTTTATATTAATTAGATAATTGGAACTATTTTAACTGTCTGATCTTTACCGAATATAATTTTTAATTTATGCTTAAGAGTGTTCTAATGTCTGTTATGTAGTATTGAAAGCAATTTGTATTTCTGTAAGAATAATAATGTTTGTTATTTTGTGATAGACTCCATTTGTATAGGGTTCTAAAAACAAATAAAGATTGATTGATTGATTGATATTAAAAATACTCCCAAAGGGGGAGGGAAGGACAACACAATCTGATTCTGCAGTAACATAAACAGCTACACTGATTGTGATAATACTGTAACATATAAAAAAGTGTTAAGAAGATTTAGCTAATATGAAATGAAATTAAAAAATATTTTATTATTCTGGGACTGTTGTCCCTTTAGAACAAATTATAAATACAGATTGCATGTCTGTATGGTTACAATTAGATATTATATTTACAATAAGAGTCGACTAAAAATAAAAATACTGAAGAAGAGAAAGAAAAGAACAAGAAAATTGAACATATATATAAGAAACTAAAATAACCTAAATAAATTGAGATAGTCTCTGGGGGTGCTTAGATATTTCTCTTAAGTATATTTTGCAATCAGTTGGATTGAGAAAGGAGTAGGTGTTTAAAGAGGAGAGGTTTGAAAGAGGAAACTGATTGAGCGTGTCGAATATCAGCAGGGATGGAATTCCAGTGGGAGGCGGGGCGGCTTGTATTGCAAAGGATTTGTCAAACGCAGCAGTTCAGTGAGGAGGAGGATAGAGGTTGGAAGTAATAGATCTAGTGGGACGGGATTGGATGGAGTATTTGAATTGTAAGCTGTGAAAAATATAGGAGGGTCGATGAGTTCTAATGATTTGGTACGGGATCGGATCTAAAGCTGCAATGGTCCAAAGCCACATAACACTGGGAATGAAAATGCTAATGAATGAGGGAAGATAAAAGCTTTTCTCCCATAGCAAAACTGCCTTTTATCATTCTCTTCAAGCAAAACCGGTATTGATTCACATATAAAGGATTTGGTAGAGTTATCACATGTTCCCTTCAATTGATATAAATAGGAAAATCTCATCACTGAAGAGCCAATCTCTCAAAAACCTCCTTAGAACCACTGGTGATACTCTTTTTTTGGCACGGCTACATGACCACACGACCTGGCGGCCCATCAGCATAAAATTAGTGTCATCAACTAACCAGAGTGTTTTCCTTTCTGGTTGTGAGAGCGTATAAATGGTTTTCCTCAAGTGGCATCACCAAATGAAAAGGAACCATTTAGGATATCCAGTATTTGTTAATGAACTAATTTTCATTAGCAGTGAGTAGAGACTGATACTTTTTTTTTCTTTTATGTTGATCAAAATAAACAGTGCTTGGTGATTTCAGTCAAATATCCCAAATTGAATCGAAGCTTTGCTTCAAACCACAAAATAAAAATGCAATGTATCATAAAAAGTATATCTGGCTATCATAGATCCACAATACACAACAGCCCAGTATTTTTACAACTAATCAATATGCTTTTAACTTAGTTAAGAAATTATTTGGTCTAATATACCAAAAATACCAGCCGTATTAGTAAGTAGGACAAGGCTTTGAACTTCTCCTGCGCTCTCGCCACTCGACTTTCTATCCATCATTGATATAATCAGTATTAAATATAAATACATATCACAAGAATAACCAAAGATAAACAAACACTATGGCAATAGATTTATGAAATTAATAGTAAAGTAAATAAATATAATTGGTAAAAACAGACATGTGCTATATATAAATATATAGATAGATATGTGTGTGTCACCCAGATTGATTTTTTTTCACTTCAGAAAAAGTTTTTGAGTTGTAAATAGATGGATTCACATTTTATTTATAGATATAAACTGAAAAAAAAATAGCCCTAAACAGTATGCATTGATTATCACATTATCCAGAGAGCCTATAATGAGAAAGACTAAACATTAATTTAAAGTCTTGAACAAATTGAACGATTTGTTGCTAGTTTTGAAAATGATGAAATAGTTTAGTTTTTAATAGTATACTTAAAATTTCCACACAGGACTGAAAAAGCAGCTAACACGTGTCCATATATAAACTAGCAAATTTTAACTCATAAGTATAACTATGAATGCTTTTATACTAGGGAAAGATTAAAAATAAAATAAAAATGGTACATACGTCAAAAAAGCCATGAATGGTATGTAAAGATCAGGGCAATTAACATCATTCCTTGGCCCAACTCTTGAATTTTCACTGTACTTTAAAGACCAATCCTAAAGGTTAAAAGAATAACATTAAATAAATATGTCAATAATTTAAAACTAAAAAATCTAATTATAATAGACAAACCGCTAAAATATGAATGGAATTAGATAGACATATTAATCAAACTACTGGAGACTGGATTTTAGAACATTTAATCTCATCAAATAGGTTCACTTTAATCAGACATTCCTCACAAAACTTGATAACATAACCTTATGGATATGGATTGTTATAAGAGCATAGGTCTGTCAGATAGCCATTGATTTTAGCAGCCTTTTTTTCAAATTATACATTGGAGAGGGATTTAGCTCAATGAGTTAAGCACTGTGCTCATACACTCCAGTCCAAAAGAGAGTACTGGGACACACCTAGTTTTCTTAGCCCTGTCATAAATACTGTTACAAGGAAATATATACAGATTTTAGAAAAATTATTTTTCAGAAAAATAAGAAAAATTATTTTTCAGAAAAATAAGAAAAATTATTTTTCAGAAAAATAAGAAAAATTATTTTTCAGAAAAATAAGAAAAATTATTTTTTTCAAAAACTTTATTAGTAAATAAAATGTATATCTATAGAAAGTAGAACAAGGAAGAAATTGCCCAAATTGTCCCCCTTTTGCCTTGACACAGGCATTTAATCTCCGTGACTAGTTATCAATAGCAGCACGCAGCACTTCTTGAGGAAAGCGCTTAACTGCTCAGACCAGAGATTGTTTGAGGCTTTTTAAGTTAGGGTGTGCTCTGAGAGGCATGCCATCCTCTCCAGTTGGGACCAAACCCAATAATCTAGTGGGTTGAGATCAGCAGGGCTTCCTGAGAGCCAATCTGAGGCAGAGATGAACTCTGGAATGTTCTTTTGCCGCCACAGCTGAGTTGACATGGCCTTGTGAGCTGGAGCGGAATCCTGTTGAAAAACCCAATGAATTCCAGCAGAGAATCATTTAGAGGCTTGATAAAAGATTCTAAAATATCGTCCTGATAGTTTTTAGCGGCTGTTTTAATTCCTTTTTCATAAAAATGGAGCTTTGTGGTGTCATCAAAGCAAACTCCCCACCAAACCATCAATGAGGAAGGGTGATGACCTCTTTCCACTCTTCCAATGACTTCCTGGGCTTTTTTAGAGCTGTGTGCATACACATGATCATTTTGGTGATTAAATCTTTCTTCAATTGTAAATATTTTTTCATTGCTGAACAAAATCTTTCGATGAAGACCATTGGTGTAACGGCCAAGGAGTACTTTGCATCTGAGAAATCTAATTTTTTTTTTAGGGAAGTAGTTAGCCTTTATCCTGTCATTCTTCGAAATTTACCCATTCTAAGGTCACTTTTTATTATTCAATACATTGATCTGACAGAGATTCCCATTTCCCGAGACATGATTTGTTGTTTTCGAATGGGATTTCTTCTGATTCAAGCAGCCACTGCTCTCACTGCATTTGCCGTTCTCGCAGTGCGGGGACGGTCGAAGTCTGTCACATACAGATAGGGTCTCATTATATCTATTTATACTGCAGTACACAAACATGCGGCTGATACTCAAAGGTTTCAGTTTTGAAAATCTCTGACCTACATTTTCCAAATTTGTGTAAGGCGATCACAGCTATTTGGTTTGAAATAGCTGTTAACTGAGTGAAAGAAAAATACAAACTAATTGGGATTATTATTCTGACATGTAAAGAAAGTAACCTGATAGAAATAAGGATTATCTAAACAATAACCAAGGATGTAAACAAAGTTAACTTTTGTAACAGTATTTATGGCAGAACTAGGTATATAAAGTGGGTGATATTAATTGGGGCAGTTTTTTATATTAATAAATCAGGCAGTTGAGCATGATCATGGTCAATTAACCTCCTTATCCAACCATTGCCTTAAAAACTTCCTAACAATGTACTGGAACCAAGACCATTCATGGGTTGTAGTGGTACAAGTTTTTCATATTTTATATTAAATGAAATTTAAAAATTACAATAGAGGAAATTGTAACGCTGATAGAGATCACAGTTATTTTTATGAAAAAAAATCTGATTTTGACAATAGGTTAAGATCCATGAACTGATTATGGCTGTATGTATGAATTAAAGATAGAGGAATATTTATGACCTAATGTCCTTTGAGGTAGACTTTTAATGGACTAAACTTTAGTTGATTTGTTCATGTCCTCAAAAAAATAGATAACAAAGTAGGGCTATCAATCCTCAGCTTAGTGGTATGAGTTGTTTGCAGTAAGCTATTTAAGAATAAACAAGAAAAGTAATTACCCTTATTATTAAAAATAATAGTATATATTGAAGTAATTATTACAATTAGTTCAAATAAAAATAATTAAACTTACTTTATTTAGGAAAGGAAATAATACTAAGCGAAGTTTATTTCGAACGTAGGTAGTATCAACTGCGAAGTACTGCTTTAAAACTGGAACTTGAATGTACCGGTTAATTTCTTTATCCATCATTTCTTTCCCAGTTCCCATTAATTTTGAGCCATATTGCACAGCTACATTTGCAAAAGGGCTAGCAAGGTAATTGGTTGGGACTGGAGAAAGTCCATCTAAAAAACATATGCATATATATTTAAAGAAACTGAACTGAAATATGGTAATGCATGTAATCATATAAACAAAAGCAATTATAATATTCATTTCAAAATGATATTGAGAAAAACAATATATATATATATATATATATATATATATATATATATATATATATATATATATATATATATATATATATATATATATATAAATATATATATATTATATAATTTTTTTTTAACACAATTTAAAGCTGTAAATGCATTTCACTCCTTTATATATAAATATATATATATATAAAGGAGTGAAATGCATTTACAGCTTTAAATTGTGTTAAAAAAAAATTCATTATCTTAAGCATAGTCGGCAATAGTATAAAGTCTAGCTACACATCAGCAATGAGTAGAAAGAAAAAAAAGGTATCAAGAGGAAACTCCAAATAGTTATAAAATATGTGAAAGGGTCAGAAGAAAAACAGTAAAACATTATTTTTCAAATATGTCAGGAGATCAAAAAAGTGCTTAACCTTTATTATTTAAACACTAATTTAAGGAAAATAAAAAAAAAATTGCAGAAAGGATAATTATCCTATGATAATTATATAATGCTGGAAACAACTAAAACCTCAAGTGAAGGCATGCTAGGGATGGCCATAGATAGTCGATATTATCGAAATATTCCTTCCTATATTTGATATTTTACCATCGATAACATCTACTTCGATTATATCGACTATCGATATTGTCCCTTCTATATTTTAATTAAAATTAAAACTATTGTTTTCAGAAAGCTCATCGGAAAATGGAACCTGCGGAATATTATGGTCCAAAGCCTACTATATGCCGATGATATCGTTCTGATTGCAGACACGAAAGACAAGCTGCAGCAGGCCCTTGTAGAATGGCAGGAAGAATTCCTCCACAAAGGTAAGGTTATCAATAGCTCCAATAGCAAAGTTCTATTCATATCAACAGATGAACAAGAGGACGTCCAGCTAATCTGTAATGGGCAGGTACTTGAAGTTGTGCAAGAATTCACCTATTTGAGGACATTTATCAGCAACACGGGGAAGATTCACCCAGAAGTAGCGAATAGGATATCCAATAAATTAGAATTTCGGTGAATCCGATCTATGGATGAATAGAAGGTATAATAGGTTAATGGAAATTTCTGGAAAAAAGCTGAAGATGAGGAAGAAAATTAATTATACCAAGGAGAGTAAAAATGTTGATATTTCCATTAACTAATTTTAAAGAGGAAAATAATATATTTTTTTATGTGTCTATGTGCTAAAGAATCAATATTTAATTCAAAATTGTCCAGTGAGTTGTACTAAACTGTTATATTCAGTCGAGGAACAAGCAATTTTTTTTTCATGTTTTTCAAAGCAAATTTATTTATATAAAGTATGACGGTATCGACAGTTATAGGCTGATATTAATATTGATGACAATATCGAAATTGGGCCTTCGATATCTCATCTCTAGTGCATGCAGAAACAAAGACTAAACTTTACTGATGGATAAGGAAAGCGTCCTTAACAGATGGTTTAATCGCTTCGGCTTTTTGGTCGAGGGTTAGGATTGAGTAAAAAGCGATGCTGAAGAAAAACCAAGAGAGGTTTTAAGCACTGGACGAATATATGAGGTCCACATGGCCATAGAGAAGTTAAATAACAACATTTTCTCTGTTTTACATTTTAATCTTTGTCCATCTCACTTCTTTTTAACATCTTAAGACATCATATTTTAGCAACTACGTAATTTTAATTAATCTACATGTGTATCTAATAACTATCTGGTACTGTTATTAATTATTTTTATATGTTTGTTACATTATTATTTTATAAGTTAATAGTTTTTCATATTGTTATCTGGTCTTTTCTAAGCATGGATGAAAGCCTGAACTTTGGGCCGAAATGTCGGAAAATATCAAAATAAATATCATTTATTTATTTTTAATTGGTTTTTTTACTAAACATCCCAACCAACTTCTCTTCAATTAAATAACAACAGAGGCCCAGGTTATTAGATATAACCTCTCTGTGGAACTATTTAAATCTGGAGGTAAAAAACTAATAAGGCCCTTGCACAACCTTTCCAATGACATATGACAGGAAAAATTGTCCACTGAGTTGTACAAAACTGTTAAATTCAGTCGAGGTAAAAGTAATTTTTCTTTTATGTTTTTCAAAGCAAATATTTTTTAGATCAATGACCTTTTGCCACTTTTCTAGTAAAACGATAAATCTGTCACTGTAAAAGTTCTGATATATATATAAAAAAAACTGAACCAAGTTATTTTCACAATCCTCTTTTAATGCCAGCTTTACACCATTAAGAAAGTTCTGCAGAGACCGAAACAAATGGTAGGTCCAGAATATATGATGGATGCAACAAAACTTCCCAGTCAAGCTCTCTCAATGTTTGCCGGCTTATTAAAGATGTGGTTTAGCGTTGTCGTGATGGAAGATAATGCCTTTCCTGATTTCCCAGCTTCAATCACACTAGTAGTTCACAGTAGAGTTAAATTAATGGTTTGGACAGGTTTGAGCAGCTCATGATGAACAATCCCTTACCAATTCTACTAAACACAGCATCCTCTTTCTTGGTGTCAATCCAGGCTTTGCCACTATTTGTGAAACTTCTCTGAGCATTGCTAATGTTTGTGAAACTTCTCCGAACTTTGCTATGGTTTGCGAAACTTCTCCGGGATTTGTCCACGATCTTTGTCACACATTACTGTCATATGTAATCCACTTTTCATTACCCGTAATCATTTGTTTAAAAAATGGCTCGACTTTTGTTTCGTTTCAGGAGCTGAGACAATCTGTATAGAATGTGGTATAGACTGCAACCTTTTAGACACACTATAGAATAGCTTCATTGAATAAAGATTACAAGAGATAAGATAATTTAAAGTAATCAATTAGGATAAAATAAAATTACTTTTTTCTCAACCCAATAGCTCCAATATATAAAGAAGGAAACATACTGGAATGCCCTAATTACCAAGGAATATCATTGCTTTTGAGAGCCTACAAGATCCAAGGATTCTGTTCAATAGACTTTTACCTTATGCTCAAAAAGAAATAGATTGCTATCAAGCAGGATTCATGGAAAGGAATTCCACCACCAATCAGATTTCCTCCCACAGAATGTTACTAGAAAGGATAACAGAATTAAGAATCAGAGAACATCATAATATTGAATGTTTTCCAATATTACGAATAAAGAATATGAAGTTAGAATGATGATATTGCTGACAAAAATTTAAATACAATTTTTTACAAATTTTATAACTTTAAGCAACCCTCCTAAAAAATAATGAACACTATACTTATGAAAACAATCAAATAAACATACAAATTTTTGTTTATGGAGATACCAATAAATCAAACAATAGATGATCTTCCTGTAGGCATTAATTTCATTTTTATGGTTCCAGTGAAAAATGATTTGGTAGATTTATTTTTCATACTGCAAAAATGTCATCTCACTTAATTCATGAAAACATATCACAAGGACTTCTGGCTTACGCAAAAACTAAATTTTTTTTTTAAAATGATAAGAATATTATTATACCTGGCAAAAACTGTGGAGCTGAATAATGCTGTTGAGGGTTTACATACCCTCCAGCCTTAGACATCGGTGACATCACATTGCTGTCATAAGAAGCATAGCTGGGAGTAGACGTAACAGGTGTTCGAGCATATCCTCCAAAAGATGCTCCATTTGAAGGTTGATAATAATCTTCGTCAATAGAGTTACTATTGTCTAGATAAAAACAACATACATTAGTAATCTAAAAACAAAGTCAACGTATATAACAGAAAAAAAAAAAAGAATAAAGCATACTGCTGATTTCGGAATGGAAAATGATAGATAATAGATCTACAATTACAGAATGGAAGAGAAACAAGTTAAAGAAACTTATCATCTAAAATAATACAGAATAAAAAATCTTAGAAAAGCAGTATATTAATGTATTTATTAATAAAATTGTAAGTTTTATATTGAAAATATTGACAAATATACTAAGTAACTGATAAATTCAAAAATTATGATAACATACATATTACTACTTCCAGCATACATATTAGTAATTTATTCATATACTAACCAAATAATTCCTCTAATAAATATCTTCTACGACGCATTGTATATCAAATTATTGCTTGGCAGAATAGGTTATATGAAAAGGGAAAGAAAAAACAATTGGGCTTTCAGCTGTTTGAAATGACAAGTTAATAGTAAATATCAAATATTGATAATTACCTTCACTAATGATTAGTTCAAACTTTGTTAACTAATAATTAAGAGCTAGTCTAATTATTGACTTTAGTAGAGTAAAACAGGAAAGATGAAATACTGAACAGTCATGTAACACAGACTTAAAACTTAGAGGGAAAGCAATAATGAAATTAAATAAACTTTTATTATTAGCGATTTAATAAAAAGTCTTTTAAATGACATGAAAAATTTAGATTATTGATAAACATCAAAATTCAAAATTCAAAGCTACAATATGTGATTCAAACTAATCAAATAATCATTTATACACTATCTATCCATAGTTTTCCAGCTGTGACTATACACTTTTAAAAACTATAAATGAATTAAATCATTCTAAAGTAAATAGTGTATGAATTAGATATTGTAAAAATAAAAATTAATAACTTTGTGGAGATAGTAGGTCTTAATTTTTTTTTCTTATCAATTTCAATTTAAGAATCAACTTCCAAAGATAAAAACTAATAAGAATACTAAATGTCGAAAAGAACGTATGTTAATAATTTGTGGTATATACTCACCAGGAGGGTTAAAATAAGGATCCTTTTGATTGTAATGATTCATAATTCATAACAATAAATTTTAAATCTATTTAAACAACAAATTAAATAATTAACAAAAGAAAAAAAAACAGCCAACTTCTAAACTACAAGTGTCACAAACTCTAATAAACATTCCGTTCCATCGCTAATGCTTAGTTCGCGCTGATAGCCAAGAGACTCTTTTTTTTCTCGAGAAAAATAGTAATCATACACACATCTATTTACTTTGCATTTTATTGATGAAGGAGTTTAATATTACATATTCTTGTAAATCTTTAGGGTCTATTTCTTGCTTGTACGATTCATCTTCGGGATACCAAGGCACGCCTCTGTTTCTCATTTTTATGCAGAGTTGAAGTGGCTTTATCTTTATCTTCCTACCGTCGTAAATATTTCCTAGCATCCTTCCTCTTTCAAGTCATCCAATCCCACCGTCCTTCATACAACTCTGAGCTCCTTCAATTCAAATCCTTTGTTCGTTCCCGTGATACCCGTTCCCGGTCTTCTGACTTATAAATAAGGGTCCACCGAACCACTGCTTTCAACAGATCTTTCAGTATCCGATCCTCATCCCTTTGGAACTCCATCCCCTCTCACATTCGTCAATCCAATACCCTTCCTACCTTTAAATCCCGCCTGTTCAATCATTTCTTATCCATCCAGTCCCCATGAAATTGAAAATAGATACTAATGTAAATATGTAAATAAATTATTAGTTCGTTCTTCATTATTTTTACTTCATCCTTTTTTTTCATTTTTTTATTTTTTATTATTAACTGATTAAAATTAGAAAGTAACTTATAATTTTTCATTTTTTTACTATGACTGTTTAATTACTTTGCATTTTTATTTTTGTATCTCCAAGGCTCCTTAGCCCATATTTATGTCTTTCTGTATTATTCTAAAGGGACTCGTCCCAGAATAAATAAAGTATTATTATTATTTCAATCCTTACATCAGCATATATTTCTTCATAATCCGTTAATCTATCGACGATGGATGAGAAATGAATTGCAACACTTGATTTTTCCATAAAATAATCAGCTCCTTTTTTTTTATCCGTGATATTAAAAAGGAAAGGCGATTTCTCCAATATTTATAATGTAGCATAAATAAATACTTCCAATCAGAAATTCACAACTTTCGTAATTTAATCAATGTATCGTGTTTTTGTATTATTTATCATTGAGCTCAACAAGCTCCCTTGATACTTGCTAGTGTTATGTATTTAAAAAAAATACGAAAGCAACAAAGATAGAATATTGAAAATAGATTGTGTATAATGTAAACAGGAAATTTAGGTTGCAATATAAATTCTTGTTTTTGAACTTCGATAAGTTTTGAGTGGATTAACAACACAGAGAATGTTACACAAGTTCATGTAATTACAGAAAAAACGAGAAGCTAAGAAATATTTTATGAGCGACAGACAGAGCGACTAGTCGCTCTGTAAGAATGAAACTGACAACATGTTGGCTGACACATAATGTGATGTGACGAGTATGATGCCCGCTATTACGAGAAGTCGCATGTATTTTACGTAAAAAATGTAATGAACAAGTACATGATAGACTTGAAAATGGCTCGATGAGTCGAAACGTCGTAGTAGGATTGTGGAAGTGAAAACATCGGTGTAATGTTGGCTTATTTAAAAAATTAGAAACTGAAAAAATATATTTCTTCTTAGAAGAAATAGTATGAAAGGAAGTGTACAACATAATTATACAAGTAAAGGTACTTTTTTTTTTTTTTTTTTTTTTTTTTTTTTTTTTTTTTTTTTTTTTTTTTTTTTTTTTTTTTTTTTTAAACAAGTAAAGGTACTATTTCGCTGGCTCTGCCCACGGCAGCGACCGCTTTTTAACGCAGCCAACCGTTTCATGCTTGTCTATTTCGCTGGAACTGCTCCCCGTCGAGACCCAATTTTATCAATTTAGCGTCCTCGTTTGATATAATATTAAATAAAAATGTTATCCTTAAATTTAATGGATTTATTTGTATCGGAAGGATAGAAATAGATTTGATGGCGGAGTTTCGATCTCATTTTATTTAATTAATACGTGCCATTTTTCTGGTAGTTAAAGTTGAATAACAAGGTTAGGTTACGTCTGTAATATGACATGTTAACAATTATCCACATATTAATTTCTATATTCTACAAAATGATTGTTTTTCATAATATTTTGAATATAAAATATAAGTATTGGTGGTATTAATAAGATGATAAAGTATTATTTTAAGAACTGAGGATTTAGCTCCGATTTTAAATTTATAACTAATTATTAGTTCGATAAGTATCAGCAATTATTACATAATTAGTAATAAATATCATACATTTCTAATAAAATCACATCAGACAATATTTTACCGTTTTATCAATAAATCAGCACTTAAATTTAAGAATAAAAATTGATTTTTGAATGTCTGGATTTGAATATTTACCTGAAGTTAACATTTTTTAATGTCATTTGGATCTAGATATATTTGAATTTTTCTGTAAAATACTTTTGGTGGGATAAATAAACAAATAATCTTGTTACTTCAACCTTTAAGAAATGATTTATTATAGCTTTGTTTCAATCTTAAACAAAATTTCATTAAATTTGCCTGACTTGATGAATGTTTATGAACGTATCAAGGTGAATGTTATCATCAAAACAGTGCTCTGATATGATAACATAACCTATAATCTCCGCGCTTCCAACAGCTTCACTGCTTGAGAAGTGGTCAGAGAGGAGCAGTATAGATATGTCATACCTAGACTGCCGAGCAGTGCTAACGAAATAGGTTCCTTTCTATTTCACTAAAGCATTGCCCAACCGGCAGAAGTCGCTGCCGTGGGCATTACCAGCGAAATAGTACCTTAACGTTTAAAAATAGGAAGACTGTTTTGGTGAGGAGATGGATTGTAAGGAAGTACATTGAATTTTGAACTGATGAGTACTGCCTAAGTTATCTCTGTGGTCAGACCTAACTTATTCTCCACACACCAGCAATTTATGCCGTCAGTGTCATACAGAAGCGTACAATACATCTCTTGAATGTCGGAAGGGTAAAAGAATATGTATGTTACTAGACCGCCTACGTAAAAATTATAATGGAGTAGTGGCATTCCATTAATATAAATAGAAAATAGTCCTAATGAAGTCTCCAGGGAAACACCTAAAGATAGAGGTAGTGATAACTAAGAGGTTTTGTTGAAAATAATAACTGAGAACGAGGAGATCAAGGAGGATTGGAACCAACTTAAAGCACTATTAAATAAGCGGTGTATATGTATTTTGGAGAGAAAAATAATATGGGTAATTATTTAGATAAGGACCGCACGGGTTACGCGTGGTTCACAATCACTTCGGTCACACTTGTTCATGGAATACATTCGGGTTTATCCGAAAGACTGTTTTCGGCGTTTCATGAACAATTGTGACCGAAATAATTGTGAACCACGCCTCGCCTATCACGTGCGGTCCTCTCCTAAATAATTACCACAATATGATTAAAATGATGTAAACTTTTTCGAAAATGTAGAGGAGTTTTTAATTACAGTTAGTTAAGAGGAATAAACGTCTTTTGTAATCAATGGAAAAATCTATTGAGTGGAATAACTAAAACAAAAGCATGATTGGTGAGAATTAACCAGAATATTATACATGAATTGTTGGGATTTGATATAAGAAAATTTTAAATGATCGTGGTGTATAAGAAACGATGTTACATTATGATAGGTAGAGAGTGAATTGTAATGAATGCCTACTTGCCGATTGGAGGTAACATTTTATCTTTCATAAGAATAAAAAAAAACAAGTTTTTGCAGACAAACGGGAATTAAAGATTTTCAAGCAAGCTATTGTTGGTTTGATGGGATGAAAAAAAAAGAGAGACATTTAAGAAACTTAGTGGAGAAAGTTTAAGCATATCTAGTGAAGTTTGTCGTAAGTCGAAAGATGAGTCGCGAAATATGATCTCTCCTTATGAATCTAAAAACAATTTTAACTCAGACGCGACAGGGTTATTTTACTGTCTACCCGATCGTTTAATGTGTTTTAATGAAGAAAAGTGGCGGGGAAAATAGTAAAGAACGTGTTATCATATTGTTTGGCGCTGAAATAGATGGATCTGCAAAATAAAGATCGCTCATATGATAGGTAAATCAGAAAAAAACAAGATCTTTTAAAAGCATAATATCATCCCCAATGACTTATCAATAGAAAAGTATGGACGACAGGCGAAATATTTAACGATTGGCTAAAATCAGTAAATACTGATATGGACAAAAAAGAGCGAAACAAAAACTCCAGAAATGGCAAATCAATACATTAACAACGTCCGTCATTTTTTAGCGAAATCGGATGTTTGTGTAGACTTATTCTCTGCGTGTAGACGTGCTCTAAACACGCTCGACAGAGCTGTAGACAGAGTCTTTAAGTATCACACCAGAAAAAAATACTGATTTTTTAAAATAGTAAAACGTTAATGTTTAATTGTTCTACTTATCCTTTGTACTTATATCAATGTATTTTTATAATAATTTTGTGATGTCTTTTTATTATTTCTTCACACCTTTTTATTGTAAATGTGGTTTAAGTGGGAATGATGCGCGATATATGACCACCAGCGGTCGTTCAAACTTAACCTCCCCCAACCCTACTCTTACCTGTCCGTTAGTGAGCCCTGGTAAACTGAGCAATCCAGCCCGAGTTACCAGTGGTGGTAACCAATTTCAGCGGAGAGCTGGGTCAGTAAATTAATGAGGGATGGGGGTCCTGGGAGAGTTTGGCGGCAGGATGCACTCTCTGGATTGGCGGCGGACTAACCATAACTAATAGCTAATAGATCAACGGAAGCAATCATAGATCGAGAATAGATCCAGTGTAGTCCTGGAGGCAGGGCCGAAAAATCGTCCTGATCGTAGGCGAAGATTTGAATATAAATTATGAAATTATATGTCATTCTATGTAAAATGAACCTTTTCTGCTATTCCAAAACCGCTGCTTTTAAAAATAGTGGCTGATTTATAGTATATTAGGTCAGTAATTTGAGGTTCGCAACGGGAAGTTTATTGCGAAAACTGTGGGAACAGTTTTTTTTTTAACTTGTGTATATGAGTTCAAACCTGTAAAAACCAGATCGCTTACGCGAGG